AGGAGTGCGCCTTCCGGTTACGGGAGGCAGAGACGGAACCACAGTGCGGACCCCGGTGGCACTAGAGGGCCAAACCAGCGTTGGGGCACGACAGGGCGGTTCGTGCTCGGCCCGCGCGCAGTTCTCAGCCCGGCCTTCATTTGAGCCGTCATATACCCTGCATGCGCAAACAATATGACTGAGGACATGCTTATGTGAGTATGAGTGTGCAGTTGTTTGTTTGCGTGTGTGATAAAGCGCCGTCGCTTGTAGTTGTGGTCGAGGAGCGAGGAAATTTTTTCCCGGCTTCTAATGGCTTGGTTTCTCTCTTTTCCGTACCGTTGACCGCGGCTTTGAATTGATTATTTCCTTGCTTGCTTGGCTTTGCGACCGGGCTGGCTGATTAGGGTAATATGATGTTGTTGAATCGATTGGTGTTGTTTCGGGCAGCTGTCGTTGCTTGTATTTGTTGCAAATCTGCATTTGTGTAGGTAGTGTCCTTTGGCTGGCGTGGTGTTTTTGCGCGTGCCGCATGGCATGTTTGCGGGCTCCTTTGCGGCTTCCCCCGGTTGCACTGCACTGGGGTGTTGCATGGCTAGGCATGGATGCGCGGTTGTGGCTGCGTCTCCACGTGTAGAGGGCCTTCGTACACGGTCAAAGTGTGTCACTTTTCCCGTGTGGTTTCGGGGCTGTTTCCCCTTCCCGCAAGGCCCTGCTTTGGGTCTGGGGCTGTTGGCGAGGTTAATGATATGTAGCGCTGCTGCTGCATTTTTGTCATGATGAGATCCTGGGCGGTGTATGGGAAGGTATGGTGCTTCTTGCCGTATTACCCATTAGCTTGGGTACGCTCGTGGGGTCGAATCCCGGACCCGACACGTAACTTTTTGCTCCGCGGCGCCAACAGCAGCGGCCGCCCCGGCCGCTGCTGAGAGCCGTGCTCTGCTGTGCGTGTTTGTGTGCGGTGCATGCGAGAGGAGCGAGGTGTTTCCTTTCTGTTTGCTTGAATGTTACAGTGGTAGTCTACCACAACTACTCCATGCCTGTGCATGCTCTGCCCAGCTGCTCTATCTCCTGCCTAGTAATCACTGCTAGCCTGCTGCGTCGTTGTCAAGCCCACTACCTGCTCTCACACACACACACAGTACCACCAGCGCACTCAATATGCCTGCCTGCCTGCCTGTCAGCTTCCTGCTGAAAACGCCCTGCTGCTCACACCAACGTCATGCTCAGAATGCTCACACATGCCTGCCTGCCTGCCTGCCTGCCTGCCTGCAACCCCACACAACAACATGAACAACAGCACTGGGTTCAACGATATCTAGAGAGAGACATAGATAGAGAGAGAGGAATATAGGTAAGAGACAGACACGCCAATGTGCAGTCGCCGCCATGCATAATAACAACTAACAACACCCCTAACAGCCTGATGACCCATGGGTCATCTGTAGCCTAACCGCCGTACTACACACTGTTGTCGTCGTACAAGAGCCAATTAAAGGCAACCACCTGCTGCTGCGCTACCAGCTCCGCTTGTTCCCAGCCATAGGCACCATGTACGATGGTGACACGTCCCAAAGAACTGCTACTACTACTACTACTACTACTCACTAGGAAAGAACGTTGCTGCTCCATGAATAGCAGCAGCATGTACGACATGAGCATGGTTTGCATAAAACGACTGGTCGCCATCTCTCATCACCACAGCAACCGTGCAACTGTTGGCAAAATCACACACAGAGACACGCTCGCTTAAACCAGGTCAAATCAGTGCACCACCATAATCATCATCATCATCATCATATAGGACAGAGTCGTGTTATTGGGCACACACATGCATACAACCTGCTTGCCAACACTGCGGTGTCCTTCTCTTCATGCAAACCTGCTGTATGTGCGGCGCATCACATACAACGCGCGTGCATCAGGAGCAGGATCTCTCAACCAAAGGATATCACAAATGCAGACTACAACAGCATCAACCCGAACGGTGCCTCCTATCCGTCCCCTAGTGGGGCACCTAGCTAGTTACTTGGGGACCACCTCGAGGTTATCTACGCCCACGTTTAGAACGTCTCTGTCCCTGTGCGCTAGCCTGCATACAGCCTCCTGCAGGGGCCCCACGTAAGGCTCCGCGCAGGTTAGGCCTAGCTTCTTGACTACCTCCACTGGCATCCAGGTGGCCGCTACAAGCCTGCGCACCTGCACCCGTCGCTCATCCCCAGACGCCGAGCCAGGAAACCTAACCTTTGCAACCGCGTGGCCCGTTGTTCTATGACGGGTAACGGCCACAGGCTTGTAGCCCGCCGCCCTCAAGGACAGGACCTTGCCGCACCTGCTGACAAAGGTGGCGGGGAGGCCATCCACCTTCTTGAACTCCACCCCCCCGTGCCGTACGAACACCTGCGTGTTTGGGTGGGACGACGGGGGTGATGACGGGGGTGATGACGGGGATGACGGGGAGGGGAGAGAGGGTGTACGGCAACCTTCCAGTTCGAGCAGCAGCGGAGGTGCTTGGATGCAGGTTTGGCCAAAAAGTATACTGCATGCACTGTAACGCACTGGCAAAACACCTGCTACATGCTCTGCCAAAAGACCCCTCTTACGTTGTCTCGTACACATACTAACTACAAAGCCCATCTCACCTCTCCAGCAGACGCAGGGGCAGCGGATGATCTGCAGGGTGACAGCCGCCCCGGCGGTTCTTGATGATGGCTGTGCGTGCTGCTGTGGGTTGCCCGCCGTCTGAGCTGCCGTACCATGTCGAGAGCTGAGCTTGGTGCGTGATAGCCCAAAGCACTGGGAGCAGCGGCGGCAGCGGCGTCATCCATCACAGCGTCCGAAGCAGCAGCAGGAGCACTTGATGATCTGGAAGAAACGCCGGTGGCAGGAGCCTGCATGTACGGCAGCATTCATTGGGCAGGGGCGGCAAGGAAGAGGGTCAGACGCAGACGTGACAAGGGGGTTCAGCTTCCTCAAAGCTGGAAAAGGGCGGAGCCCCTCCTCTTCAGTACGGGAACGTATTATTACCACTGGGATGAATACGATTATTACAAGGGAGTGGAACGACTCAAGTGCGACGCACAACCCTATGGGCCTTATAGACCTGGAATGCGCTCCTGTGGCTCCACGGCACTTTCGCATTCTAACACACCTTGTTATACGGACGCTGAACCCCCTTGTTTACTGTAGTTTAGTGCTCGTTGCATGGCTAGACGGGCTCAAAGCCCCTTGTCCAGCCGAGGCCGGCCGCCTTGTTCACCCATGGCGTACATAGTGTCCTCACTCATTGCACACATTGTTAGGTTACGCCTGCACACATTGTTAGGTTACGCCTGTTCAATCGAGTACTTAGTAACGTCTTATCATGCTTGATAACACCCACGCATTAGGCTACAGAACCCAAATCGACGGCGTAACTGCCACATGGGAGTGCTTTCAGGGTCCCGCAGGTCGTTAGGGTTTCACCTACATTACTAACATGATGAGGAGGCCAGGCTCGGCAATCTCGGCATCGTGCTCAGGAGGACTTCAGCCATTGCGCCGTCACATGACATGTTAGCTAATAAGCGAGGTACCCCGTACCCGTTTGCGTTACAGTTCATACGCACAAACCCATAGCAAAGGCTGGCAACATCGTCACAAAGGATTGTGTGGGCTCTGAGTAGCACAGTAGATGCGAGCATGCTCCCGCCGGCTTTCACAAGTAGCCCTTTGCCGGCACGCCGCTGTTACCAATTCACTCAATACTGTTTACGGTACCAGGACACACCAAAGAGGAGCGCTAATCGGTGTTGCCGAGGTCCTTTTCAATGGCTGGTCAATAAATTGTTTATTGCGAAATCAAGTTTGTTTGGCTTCCAGTTATTTTTACTGAATACAGATAACGAATATCTATTAGGTGCAATTAATAGTTTTGTCTAGTTTATATGTTTTGACGTTACGGACACACGGACACACGGACAGGGGCAACCCTGGGGGGCGAGCCCCCCCGAAGCCGCTTCGTGGCGGGGGCTCCGCCCAAAAAGGGACATGCACGTAAGAAGGGACGTGCATACACGTCTGCTCTGCTGTGCCGTACATCCCCTCCAATTGATCAAGGCATTCACTGATGAGGCGGGAGGGAGCAGCAGCTGGCATCACCAGTGCATATGCAGAGAGCACTGCACCGTTTTCCCTTTTCCCTAATAAGCAAGCGCTCACCTTGGCGTCGCTCCTAGCAGGTGCTGCTGCGCCCCCCCTGCTGGAAGAGGCTGCTGCCGTGCGCCCACGGGCGACAGTGTTGCGCAAGGACTTGAGAGCCTTGGGCATCAGCTTCTGTAGAACCTCCACCCGCGACAAGCCCCCCGGTGGGTTGCTGGCTGTCTGGTAGCCGCGGGAACCAAGCAGCGACTGCATCGCCCTCGCTCCACACTCCAGCAGCCTCGCCGCCACGTTCCCTTGGGCTCGTGAGGGGCCCAAGAAGAACAGGCTCAGCGTTTCCAGCGCGTCGAAGCAGTCGAGAGAGCTGGTGCTGAGGCATACAGCGAGCAGGCCAACTGCCACGGGCTCCTTCAGCTCCAGCAAGAGTTTGACCATCGGCATGCCATACTTCTCACGTAGCTCGTGCTCCTGCAGGGGAAACATGGGAGGGGGGCGATAGGAGCGCTTCCTGTCAGCTTGGGGGTTCGTTAAACCTCCTGCTTTGCTGGTGGTTAGCTCAATCATGCGTTCCTCCAAGACAGCAGCAGCAGGGCACACAGAGAGAGAGAGATAGGCAATATATGCTCTGCACTACCACACAGCGATCTAAATCGGTATGCTAACAAAGGAGCTAGCTAGGCTATAGCTGAACTCACCAGATCTGTAGGCACGGGTGGAGAGGAGGCTGGAGCCAGGGAGGGGACAACTCCTGCCGTGCTCAGCGGCGGAGACCGCCCCATTTGCACGCCTGCTGGGGACCCGCTGGTAGCCACAGCAGCAGCAGCAGCAGCAGCAGCAGCGCCCAGTAAGTACATATTACGATAACGTTCTTACTTACAGTTACGGTCTATTACGCTTATGACCAGGCACCTGGTGTTCCGCTAGGACTCGGGCAGCGCCTACGCGCATGTCGTCATGCGCCACCTCCCGCAAACCGGAAATCCCGTTAAACCCCATCAACAAACGATTCTAGGATCGACCCAAATCGTACATCGTTCAAAAATGGTTTTATGGCGGTAAATTCGTGATTTTTTCCGATTCGATTCATGCATGACAAAACGCCGTACATTTACGACGGCCACTTACTGCCCATATAAGCCAGCGCTTCTGACCAGACATACTCCGCTACACCGCCTTTGTACAAAAGTGCGCAATAATAGCGGGCTTGTGACCCTGCTAGTCTACAGCGACAAATGGCGACAACATTTCCTTCTTCAAACGTCTTTATGATACATGCCTTCTCTAGTAGTCATCGTTGGATTAAGTTAACTACGATAAACCTACCAACTTAGCTTAGCTCGAGGCAAAGATGTGTCGACCGCATCATCCTGTTAGCCTCCCGGCTCCCTGCCCGCTTCTACGCCTACCATCGGACTTCTTTCGTCTATGGATGAGGATGTTTTCATGATCCCAAGCTACTCCGCCCAACGGTCCTCAGGACGCCATGCGCAACCAGACATCCGACAACCGGGAACAGCGCGACAGCATCCCCTGGAATCACGTAAGTCCCGTTTACATGTGGGCATAGGGCACTACAACTAGGACAGTTAAGCATGTGCGCACTTTGCAAAAGTCCCCTGATGAGGCCCTTTGGCAAGGCCGAAACGCGTCGGGACGTGCCTTGCCATTTTGCTTTGTGCACCCTATGCATCCTTAACCCCTTGCCTTGTAGTTGCACTTGCCCAACAAACGCATTCTACCTTTCTCTGTTAAGCACGCATACTTGTTTGACGTTCAACGTATCGTAGCTAAGGGCATTCCTGCTCATGCCCCTTGCTATACATGCTTGTACCTTAACTACGTGGATACATGCAACATAAGCATACCGTAATCCTTGTATACCAGTCTACATGTTCCCATAATACTAATCCGCGTGCACTACTGGCTCCTTTTTCCGCCTTTTACTTAAACAGCAGCTTTACCCCTCTGCGGGCCAGACTAGCTGGCTTACGCCGTAGGATACCGGCCGTCCGGGTCCGAAAGGGTTCTCGCATGAGGAGCAAAACCTTGCACACCATGCATGCTTTTGGGTGTTTTCCGAACCCTCGTATACCCCGTACATAAGGGTCATTACGTGCCCCTGACCCGAACTTACTCTCAGGGGCAACCATGTATGACCTCTGATAGGATACATACACGAAAGAGATGGAGGGTTATGGTTCGTATAACCGCTCGTACTCTTGCTTATGTGTGTGATGTCCCCAAATTCGTTCTCCGCTGTGCCATACGTCTCATTTACCATTCGAACTTTTGAACAGATGCGTACGTCGCTGTTCTAAGTTACTAATGAATGGTTAAAATGATATGTTGCGTGTCCTCAAGACTATACGTGGTCGCGGTGTTCTCTTGCGGTACACAAGAAAGCACCAAGACCGCCCCCGCCCCCTCCCCAACATGCAAACGCGCTACACTTGGCAGAGTGTTACAATGGAACGGTTACACACCCTTAACCGTACGGAATAATACGCTGAGATCAATACTTGGCCTGCCAGCCATGATCTCCCTACGCCTCCTCCGGACAAACTTACCAAGGAATAGACGCATAAAGACACCTCTTTCGCGGTTACGCAAATCCGAGCAGGTTAAGACAAGTCACTACGTCCTCGAACGGCAACCTATTTGCAAATGCCCACCGATATTTTGCATTCTCTACATGTATCCATTCCTCCCATTTCTCAAGTTTCCGGGTAGTGTGTGGTGCTGTTCGCGAAGGCGGCAGCACCACCCTACTTAACAAGTAGCATGGTCGGTGCTTGCCGTCCTTCCTGACACACCACGGGTCCGTGCGCTATGGCGGGGTAGCACAGCAGCAGCAGCAGCAGCAGCAGCAGCGCCCAGTAAGTACATATTACGATAACGTTCTTACTTACAGTTACGGTCTATTACGCTTATGACCAGGCACCTGGTGTTCCGCTAGGACTCGGGCAGCGCCTACGCGCATGTCGTCATGCGCCACCTCCCGCAAACCGGAAATCCCGTTAAACCCCATCAACAAACGATTCTAGGATCGACCCAAATCGTACATCGTTCAAAAATGGTTTTATGGCGGTAAATTCGTGATTTTTTCCGATTCGATTCATGCATGACAAAACGCCGTACATTTACGACGGCCACTTACTGCCCATATAAGCCAGCGCTTCTGACCAGACATACTCCGCTACACCGCCTTTGTACAAAAGTGCGCAATAATAGCGGGCTTGTGACCCTGCTAGTCTACAGCGACAAATGGCGACAACATTTCCTTCTTCAAACGTCTTTATGATACATGCCTTCTCTAGTAGTCATCGTTGGATTAAGTTAACTACGATAAACCTACCAACTTAGCTTAGCTCGAGGCAAAGATGTGTCGACCGCATCATCCTGTTAGCCTCCTGGCTCCCTGCCCGCTTCTACGCCTACCATCGGACTTCTTTCGTCTATGGATGAGGATGTTTTCATGATCCCAAGCTACTCCGCCCAACGGTCCTCAGGACGCCATGCGCAACCAGACATCCGACAACCGGGAACAGCGCGACAGCATCCCCTGGAATCACGTAAGTCCCGTTTACATGTGGGCATAGGGCACTACAACTAGGACAGTTAAGCATGTGCGCACTTTGCAAAAGTCCCCTGATGAGGCCCTTTGGCAAGGCCGAAACGCGTCGGGACGTGCCTTGCCATTTTGCTTTGTGCACCCTATGCATCCTTAACCCCTTGCCTTGTAGTTGCACTTGCCCAACAAACGCATTCTACCTTTCTCTGTTAAGCACGCATACTTGTTTGACGTTCAACGTATCGTAGCTAAGGGCATTCCTGCTCATGCCCCTTGCTATACATGCTTGTACCTTAACTACGTGGATACATGCAACATAAGCATACCGTAATCCTTGTATACCAGTCTACATGTTCCCATAATACTAATCCGCGTGCACTACTGGCTCCTTTTTCCGCCTTTTACTTAAACAGCAGCAGAGGGCTGCGTGCAGCAGCTTTGGTGCTGCACCTGCATAAGCAAGAAGAAAAACGCAGAGCACGGGGGTCAGACGTGCAATGGTGTCATGTGGTGGTACGAGAAAGAGGAGGCGGATCTTGCACACCAAAAAACACACGAACGCCCACAACTGCTGGCAGTCGTGCTGTTGTACGACTTACCAGGTCTGCAGCGGTGGCTGATGCAGGTGGCGCTAGCCCTGCTGGGCTTGTGCCTGCGCCACCAAGCACGCCTGAGGCGGATCCGTCACCAGCAGAAGCAGCGGCAGCAAACAGCTGCAATGGAGAAGTCGAGGCGTTGCAGGTTTGGGGGCCCCCATTCGCCACCTGTACGACATGTACAGCAAGCAAGGGGATCGTGTACGGAAGAGCTGTACATGCAAGGGGCTCGCACATGCAGGGGACTCGCACATGCAGGGGGTGTGCATGGGGAGGCTAGATTGCGAACCCGCTGTTGTTAAGCATGGGATAACAGAAAAGACTTTGCATCCCTAGGGTTAACTCACCCGCCGTGCAGCAGGAGTGTTGATACCCGCCGCCACAGCAGCAGCAGCAGCAGCAGCAGCAGCAGCAGCAGCAGCAGCAGCAGCAGCAGCAGCAGCAGCAGGGGCTGTGCGGTCCTTGCTAGGAGACGACAGCCGGGGTTTCTTGGGTGCAGGCTCTGCGGCGTAATAGTCTACCTCCAAAGCAGGATCCACGACAGCCTCCATTTCCGCGTCAGGGGCAACAGGGTCAGCAGCTGCCGCTGCCTCAGCAGCTGTGGCCAGCTCGGCGCCATCTGCAAGCTCCATGGGGGCTTCTGCGTCATCCACCCCTGCCTGTGGAAGGAAGAGGTTGGGACCATGCAACGATTCAGCCCTATCAATCCAAGGGAGTAAGCTGCATGCATCGTTGCCCTTGATGACACAGGTACACGAGGCAGCGACCCCAGCTGCACACCGCAATGCAAAATGCAACAACACGCTCTCTGAGCCCCAAAACCGCATGTGTACGGCGGCATGGATGTACGACATCACACTCGTACCAGCTAACTCGCTTACCTGGATGAGTGGCAGCCGCTCAGGACTCGGCGCCTGCTGCTTACGCCTACCGAGTTCCGTGATAAAGGTGTAGGCCCGAAACTTCTGCCCGCCTGCATGCATGCACGATGTTTAGTAGGCTCTAATCACCAAAAGGAGGCCCATCCCCGAGCTGGGCTCTTACCTTGCGCACCGACAGGTGAGTACCACAGCAGGCTTAGGCCAGGAAGCCCCAAGTCCGCCATGTACTGCTCTGCTGGGCTTTTTTGACGAAGGGCCTGCTGCACAATGATCACAACCTGCGAGTGTATGGTGTCGTACAGCAACCATAAGGTGGTTAACTAACTGCCAGCGCACGGGATGTCCCTGCCGTTGCCTCCCTCATGCACAGAGGACCTTGCACGCCCAACCTGCTCTTACCTCGAGCTTCTGCTGTGTTCGCGCCACTTGGGCGCAGATGGCTTTCCGGTCATCTGGGTTAACGCCCTGCCAGAAGGTGTACAGAACCGTACAGTCCTTGTAGTCCACCTGCATGCGAACAAGACAGCTGGCAACCGTGTAACAGCTGGCGACCGCCACATGAAACCCCAGGCTACAAGCGTCGTACCTCTGCAGCATTGGCTTTAGCAATGGTGGGGGGCTTTTTGCTGTACTGCGCTGCGCAGTGGAAGACGGTTGCCTTGATGTGGGGCTCCACCTCCTTGTTGCCGGGTGCTGTGCACCTGTCGGCTATCCTACTAATGATAGAGGTGCCAACGTCCACCCTGTTGACGCTGGTTTCCCATCCAGTAGCCTCCACACCAAAGCAGAAGGTAGCAATGACCACCGGCCTGCATTCACATGGAAAACCACCGTGTTTGATGCTTCACGTGTGGCTCATGACCTCTCCCTCCCCTCGCCTTTCCCCACCCCTTTTGCCGTATGTGTGCCCCTCCTAAGACCGGGCCATGCATGCCGACTCACCTCGCTATGCCCGCACCGATGTCGCCCAGGACGCTCTCGCCAGGTCGCAAGAGGTCCACCAGGCGCAGATAGCAAAGCAGGCGATGGAACTGGCCCAATGTGATTGAGCCATATAAACCATCGCCGGGAACGCCACCAGCACCGCCAAGCTCATACTGTGTTCGCGTTGGGCGTTGACACATCAAAGCGCGTTTCTGAATAATACGCACAATTAATTGGAATACAACAATGCACTGGGCAGGAGCTCTTACCTCTAGCGACTGCAGTTTTCCCTCGAGGATGCTGGCACAGGACTTTGCAACCGCATAGCCCTTCTGCCCAGCAAGGATATCATCGAACATATTGATTATCTCTGAACAAATAGGCTTTCGCACAGTCTTTGCGACTTTCTGAGGTTGAGTTTTGTTTAGCTTGCCCGCCATCCTTCACGAGTTACATGTTGACCTAGCGCTGAGACTAAGAACTAATAGTTATCTATAACCAACTCAAATACGTAAGCGTAATACGTATATGCAGGGTGTTTACACAGAGACGCTTCAGTGCGTAAACAGCAGTACTGTCGTACGGCAGATGCCCCGCTGTGTGAAAACCCGCGCACCCTATAAGTCTGCCGCAGGCCAATGCCGCAGTAAATCCGAGCGCCGTGAGACCGCGCGTCTCCGGCCGTTGAATATATGCAATTCACGAAACAACGTAACATAAACACTAACTGCATAGCTGAAACAAGGCAGTTGGGCAACGTGGGTTTCATATGAAGCCGCGTTCTGACTGCGTGTGAACATGCGCCCGGGGGAGTCTTGGATTAACAAGCCCCAATGGCTCAACTCACATGAGTACCTAGCAATGCAATGCAAACTGGCCAGCATCCGTACCTAGCAATCCATGGCTTCAGCAGCAAAGCCAAACCTACTAAATAATGCACACAGTTCGTTCCCTTGCCCTCAGCCCCATGTGCTACTCCCCCTTATACAGCGCTGGACCACTTGCGCTTCCTGCGAACTGCCTGCTGCTGCTGGGAAATGATGCTAGGCCAATCCTCTAGGCGTTCCTCCTGCTTATCTCCAGTCCTGTGCGTCCTGTCCATTCCCCCTCCCGACTCCACTACCCAGTCCTCCTCTCCCTTCTCCAAGCCGTCGGACGCCCCCTGCCCTGCACTGCTGTTCCCACCGCTCTCCATGCAGTCGTCCCAACTCTCCCCATCGATGGTCCCCAGCTGCACCTTGCTGCCGGCTGCCCCTCCTGTCGCCAGCCCAGAGCCGCTGCTGCCCCGCGCCTGACCGCCTGCTGACCATGCAGGCGCCTGGACTGTCCCGCGGGTCATGCCTGCCGCTGGCAGGATAGGACCCGAGCTTGACGGCCCCGCCTCGCCACCCCCTTGCTGCTGCAGCTCCTGTCGCCAGCTCGTTAGGCGCTCGACAGTCGCCTGGGCCAGCATGGAGTGCTTGCCCTTGACGTAGTGGCTGTCCCAGACGCGCAGGGAGTTGCCCATGACAAATGCGTCTCCACGCAACGGCGCCGTGTTGGCCGCGACCTCACAAACAACGGCGCTGTAGGCAGTTGTCGCATGGACGTGCCGAAACTCCGAGGCCTTGAAATGGGGCTGCCACGGTGCGTCATACACCTCCTGAATCCGGTGCCATGCAGGCCCTATCTGAATGTTGTAGTCGTTGTAGGGAAGCCCTCCACGCGACAGCACCAGGTAAGGCGACTCTGGCGCGTCCGCATCCACCTTGGCAGCCCCGTACTTGGCCAGCACGGGCCGTGCAATGCTGTCGTACTTGAGAATGAAGTCAGCCAGGTCGTCCGGGAAGGTGAAGTGGATGGGTGCAGCGTGCTTCTCCGTCTTGTGGTGCAGCAGCTCACACTGCAGGACTCCAGCTGGCTGCAGCAGCTGCAGGTTGTTGCCGCGACACCCCTCTCGCTTGCACTGCGTACACGCGGCCTTTCCAGGTCGCATCAGCGTCCGGATGCAAGACAGCCGCAGAGGTGGAACGAACACGCCAGACATGAGAGCAGCGAGCACAGCGTCCGACATGAGGACTGCGGTGTCCAAGCTGATGCTGACTCCGTCCTCCAACTCCACCTGCATGGCTGCCGTTGCCAGGCTGATCAGACCCGTCACGAAGCCCAGCACGGTGTCCTTGTCAGGGAGGCCAACAGGGGCCGCCTCACCATCGGAGTCAAGGACGACTGGCGGTGGGGCAGGCGCTGGCGCCTCGTAGGGGAACGTCTTCCGCAGCTGGCAGCACATGCGCCTCAGCCAGTCCTGCATGTCCTTGCAGAAGGCCACCTGAGGCAATAAAGGCGGCCAAAGCGTGTGGGTGTTAGCAAGGTTCACCAGTACATAACGAGATTGTTCTGAGGTAGGGTACCTTCACTGAACGGCAACAGCAATATGGGACCCACTACTACAGAGGCACACAAACCCTTGACCAATCTCTCACCTCCCGCTGCATGTCGGGGTGCAGGCCGGCGTCCCTCTCGATCAGGTAGTGGATCACGCGGATAACCCGCGAGATCTCTGCCTGGATGCGCATCTTTCCGCCCCGTCGCACCATGAGGTCTATGTACTCGACGCCGTAGGTCTGTGGCAGTAGCAGGGAAAGGGACGGCATGGTAAAACCCCACGTGTCAGTAAACCAGCCCCAAGACAGGGCAAAGCACGATTCCCCACCGCCTTCCTATTAATGCTCATGACCTGCCAAACCCAACCCTACACCGCCCCCTGCCCCTGAGTCCCTTATGCTTGCCCCTCATGCCTACCGGGTTGCTGAAGAGTCGCAGCGAGATGAGAGGAAGCGGCACCCCCTGGTACAGGAAGCACACACCGAGGTACTTCGAGACAGTGCTAACCAAGCCCTTGTACGTCGACTCGGAAACACCAGGCCTGCCGTTGAAGTTGTGAATCTGGAGGTTCCAGCTCCGAAAGCCCGCCATCTCCTCCGTAATGGGAGCAAGCCTGATGTTCTGCTTCATAAAGGAGAGGAAGCCAATACGGCACCGACTGCCTAGCGCGTCTTTGGGCCAATTGCGACCTGGCAGGTTGGATGCAAAGGACCCACCGTAGCAATACTGCCGCTGCACCCCCGAGAGCCCAGAGCCAATGAGCGGCGGAACACAGCCTGGACGCAGGCCACCAGCAGCAGCCCGGGTGGCTGTTGGCATAGGTGCATCCTCATCAAGCACACGAGAGCGAGGAGGAGACTGCATGCTGCCCTGGCTAGGGGGCAGTCGAGGAGAAGCAGCCGCGGCACCCAACGGACTCGGCGGCGTCTGGAGAGGCTGCTGCAGCCGCTGAAGGCCGGGGAAGGGTACCTTCATGGCGCTGCCTTGCACGCCGTCCTCCTCCTCAGGCTGCCAACCGCTAGGGGCAGGTCGAGGAGAAGCAGCCGCGGCACCCAACGGACTCGGCGGCGTCTGGGGAGGGTACTGGGGCCGCTGGGGGGCGGGGAAGGGTGCCTTCATGGCGCTGCCTTGCACGACGTGCTCCTCCTCAGGCTGCCGACGGCTAGGGGGCAGTCGAGGAGAAGCAGCCGCTGCACCCAACGGACTTGGCGGCGTCTGGGGAGGGTACTGGGGCCGCTGGGGGGCGGGGAAGGGTGCCTTCATGGCGCTGCCTTGCACGCCGTGCTCCTCCTCAGGCTGCCGACGGCTAGGGGGCAGTCGAGGAGAAGCAGCCGCTGCACCCAACGGACTTGGCGGCGTCTGGGGAGGGTACTGGGGCCGCTGGGGGGCGGGGAAGGGTGCCTTCATGGCGCTGCCTTGCACACCCTCTTGGCCAAAGAGAAGACGGCGCTGAGGCTGGTGGCGAGGACGAGGAGCAGTACCCATCGGGCTAGACGGCAGGTGAGGGTAATGCCGTTGGGAGGTGGTGGGGGAGGAGGTGGGGGAGGTGGCGGGGGAGGCGGAGGCAGAGGGGGAGGCGGAGGCGGGGGGGGAGGTGTTGGGGGAGGCGGAGGGGGAGGAGGAGGCGGTGGGAGAGGTGGCGGGCGAGTTGGAGGCGGAGGGGGTGAAGGAGGCGGTGGGGGAGTTGGAGGCGGAGGGGGAGAAGGAGGCGGTGGGGGAGGCGACGGGGGAGTTTGCAGGGGAGCCAGCGGGGGAGGTGGACGCGGCTGGGGACTTGGAAGGGGAGGGTGAGGCGGAAGTGGCGTGGGAGGTGGTGGGGGAAGGGGATGGGGAGGCGGAGGGAGAGGCACTGTGTTGGGAGGTGGTGGAGGGGTCTTGGGTATCAGCTGGTACACGCGCCCGCTTTGCCAACTTTCGCCTTATCAGAGCCTCCCTGGCAGCAGCTCTTGCGAGGTGCCTTTCATCCACAACCCCAGAACCGCCGAGGGAAGTACGCACAGCATGCTGCAGTGAGGCCACCTCGGCGGCAACAGCCTTCAGTCCATTGTAACACTCTGGGAAAACGGAGCGTTCGTATTTTGGGGAGAATTCGTAATCTAGGCCAAACCATTCGTATTCTAGGCCATGTGGGCTTTACGAATGGTGTTCACACAGACATGCACCTAACCCTCTCACTGGGTGTATTTAAGTCATATATTGTGTTAAAATCCACGCCCCACCTAAAGTGCACACATGTGCACACACGCACTCTGACTCCCTGTTTTCCGTATTCCATCTGGCACGATTCGTAAACTTGGGACACCCGTCCGTATCCTGGCACTGGCCCATAATACGGAGTATCCCCAGCTGAGAACAGGTGTAATGCAGGTATACGACGTGCTACAGGAGTCCTTATGAAATTGTTCTGACAGGTTTACGCAAATTTAGTACCATGCGGCATGGACAGGTGGTACCTTACATACACAACTCATCCAAAGTGTGCTCTGGGAAAAGCACGGAAGGACCCGTCACCCAATGGCAGGTCACTTCACGTTCCGCCACCACATCACCACACGACTCTCATACGAAGAAACCGGCCCCTCATGCCAGCATGGCCAATATTTTGCCAATATTTAAGTTAACATACACTGCACGGACAGGCCTACCTAACCATAGCGTAACCCTACAATACATACTGCTCTATACCTACGTGTCTGCATGCCGTGGTGCCACGAGACTGGCATGATACAAAGTACCTTAGGCCCAGCATGCACAAGTCAAGTCATGTTTGGTCCTGCACACACACGCACCTACGCACGCCAACAGTGCACCCGCGAGCTCTGCACGCTGTCTAATAAAGCATTTTAAAGCCTAAGCCATGCCGGCGGACCCGCTGTAAGCGGCCGTGGTGACACGATGCTGGCACACAATACATTCGGCACCACAGCATGTTTGGCCCGGCACACACCTACCTATAGCCTAGCCTAACCCAACCTAGCCTACCCTGTCTAACCTAGCCTGACCTACCATGACTCCTGCCTCCCATGCATTGTACATGCCACCTCCCCCTAGGCCATGCACTTCCTCTTTCGACCCCGCACACCGCCTTCCCCACGCTGCTTGCTCTCCACGCAGGTTCCCGAGCTGTTGGAGCTCCCGCCAGCCTGAGCCGTGCTAGCTGGTGTTGCGATGCCCCCCAGCAAACTGCACATCTTTTGCCGCCACTGGACAGTGGCTCCGGTCGCCAGCAGAGAGTTGACCCCGCCTCCATCCTCCAGCAAAGACCGGATGGTGGCAATGCGCACCGTGGAATCCAGCCTGCGCTTGTATAGAGCAGTCAAGCCCTCACCCATGCGGGCAAGGCCACCCTCCTCCTTCTGCACGGCGGATCGCAGGAGGGAGTGCAAAGCTCAATGCGCTAAAATTTGCAGGAGTGTCGCAGGAGATAGCAATTCCCCCATTGCTAAAACAACTCAACACAAGTAACCGTGCAGGAAGTATTACAGCAAGTATTACAGCACGTCATATCCTAGGTGTAGAAAGACGTACCTGCAGCGCTTTTGCTACTGCCACCTCCGCCCTGATGCGGTTCTCCATCCACGCGATGTAGCCCTTGTTGAAAAGGACCACGCACCCCTCGAAGCTCTCCGAACCCCCGGTCTCTGCAGCACGCCGCAGCAGCCGCTGAGCAGTCTCCTGGACGAGCCCCTCGTCCTTACTGCCGACCAGCTTTGCAGCTGCCGCTGCCGCTGCAGCGGCACGTTCCTCCTGGCAGGTCAAGGCAGTCGCCTGCACGCAGGCCAGCCACTGCGCCTGGCTGCAAACCGTGTAATTTACGGATACCGTTGCATCCACGTTGTATGCCGCATGGACACAGCAGGGCGGCACCACCCCGACCTCATTGTCTCTGAGCTCCAATACCTCCCCGCCAAACACAGAGCACAGAGACGCTAGGAGCGCTGGGTCCACCGTGCTCATGGACCGCACCAACAGGTCAATGTCCGCCTTTTTGTACTTAGGGTTCTCAATCAGGGTGCGGAATGAGCCGGGAGCGATCCACACAAGCTTGTGGCCCTTGAGAACCACGATTACACTTGGTGCCGCCATGGGATAATCCTCATGCGACCCCGTCAGTGAGCCCCTACAGGGATGCACAGCCACAAAGGAATAGTAATAGATCCTCTCAGCTAGCTAGTCCATGGGAGCGGTTTCTTTTCCATGCATTTATATCCCTTGCCCTACTCCCTTGCCCTACTCCCCTGCGTACACGCACCCCAGCCAGCCCCAAAACGACGCCATTACCCGCTTCGCCAGATCCCAGTGCTTTTACTCATAGTGGAATCCCTCCCCACCCCACTCCACACTCCACTCCCCGCCCCCCCGAGGCTTACTTGCTTCCTGCTAGCATATCGCACACCGCGGTGTTGAGCCCATGGTAGACCTCCGTTGCCCCCACGCCAGCACGGTCGAGATAGGTGTCTGTAGCGAACAGGTGTGGTAGCGAGGCCCGCAATGCCCTGGCAAACCGCTCCGCCCTCTCACTTCGCCCTGGGTTCAGCGCCTCGGCATCCGAGATTGGCCTGTTTGGCAAGGGGTTGTGTAGGCCCCGGTGATGGCAAGGAGAGGTGAAGGCGCATGCTTCAAAATCCGTGGCGAACAGGTAAAGGAATGGTGGTAGAAATGGAGGTACCGTGGGTATGTAAGTTGTGTACTTTCTGACAGCAGTATCCCCTGTTATCACTGACAATAGCATCCTCTGTTCTCCCACGGTGCACGCATGCTTAGCCGTGGTCGGCAGCCCTCACATCCCCACATTCACAGAATAAACCCCTCTTACCCCTGTGTCGCACCACCGCCATACCGCAGTGCATGCACCAGGGTCAGGTTGCCGCAATATCTGATCAGGCCGTCGTCTATGCTGCCAGTGACCTCGGCTAGATGCTGGTGAAGGGGAGCATCCCTGATCTCCTTCACGGAGTGTACAGCCCTTGCCTTTCCAGGCTCGTACTGGGGGGGGAAGGAGGGAGGAACATCAAGGGAGGTAGGGTGGGTTAGGAAAGGTACCCAGGCGGGTAAGAGGGATCCTAGTTGGTTGATTCAGTAGGTGGACAGCAACCGAACAAGGGCCATGCATTCCAGGTATACCACGCAGCTCGTGAGTCCGTGTTCCAATGCCAATGCCCCAACATCACCAGCCATGCTCGACAACCTACTTAATGCTTTACAGCGACGTGTTATGCATATTAGTCTTCATATCGATGATAACCATGTCGATACGTACCAGTACAGTCTGCTGCACCGGGCATTCGCTCCCGGTCAAAACGTCCATTAGCTCCTCCTTTGCTGCGTTGAACTCCTCGAAGCCCGGCTTCCCCACAAGAGATAGCTTTTCCGCTTGAAATAACGCACTGCTGAGAACCGGCTTAGTTGCTTCCTCGCTGAAGCATGGGCGGCCCTGTTTGTATGCGACATCAAGCAGTGCCTTCTCCCTAAACACCTGCATAGTCTAGTATATCCAAGTTGTGAATCGACTATCCTCGAAAGTTGCACGCGCTCTTTGTCGATGTGTGCGTAACAATGCCTTCTAGCTGGGCTCTGTTCACGCACTGGACGCTACGTATGTACATGTACAAGGAACTAATACAGTAGTGGAATGCAAAGCGAGTTACCAAGCAATAATAGCCCAGACGATCCAGCTGTCGTACCAAACATGAACACAAACTTTGTGTGTCAAGTTAACGACAGTTCGCCAATATTCTCGCATCCTCCACCACAGCGGCCCTATCTGGTTATTCTGTAACTGTCATAACGAGCGCTGGCACAACGTACACTGTCCACACTGCCTAGGTTTCAAGCAATGGATACCACCACCAAAATTCCGGGATTGACCCTGAAGCGCTGCCGCCCTACACCTGAATGGGAATGCACGGCTTGCACGGTCCGTATCACCAGGGCGGACAAAGCCAAAAGGCACGTCAGGTCTTGCAAGATGCAAGGTAGCACCCTGCTGCTTCAGCCCCAGCCTCCCCCTGCGGCTCCTGCCCACGTTGCTGCTGCCGCCGCTCCTGATGAGCAACCATTCGAAGCCCTCGACCAGCCCCTTCCCGACCAACACATGGAACGTAAGTACATGGCTTTCCCCATGAAATACACATTCTTCTACATGGTAGCGGCGCCCTGCCTGTAGCAATACTGTTACACTGAGACCCCATGACCCTGTGACCCTGCGCACCGGCAGTCGACCCGCCAGCTGGCTTGCCTGAGCCCGCTGCTGAGGGCTCTCCAAGGCTAACCGAGGCACAGCAGGACGCTATGCTTGCCATCTTCCATGTAGAGGACGACAATGATATGGCAGGTGAGAGTGGGAAGGTCCACGTTGTTTAACCAGTGCGAGCATGGATTGACATCATCCATAACGCAGGTGGCGAAGCTTATCCGCCTGGGGATGACATGGAGCCGAGTGAGAATGGATACCCGGCGGACCCTGACGATCCAGTTAACATCTATGCGGAAATACTTAGCGCCTATGCCGACGTTCTGGAAGGAGGGGCAGCCGACTCACCCAATAACGACGTGGGCATGGTCGAAGAGGCCGCCGAGCACCCTGCCAACATCCGCAGCTGTGGCTGTGGGTGCGACATGCCGTATCTGACACCAGGGACAAGACCGTACTTTGAGGCCCATCTGGATAAGCCGCTTTGGGTAGTTAGGCACCCGTTCAGCGGCGAGGTTCTCGTGCAATGCACCCACACCCTTCGACAGAAATTGAACGGCCTAATGGGCCACATACAAGAGCACGGGCCCAGGCGGGAACAGCTGGAATCCCAGCTGCGATTAGAGTCCTGTAGTTTGCCCCCTGGCAACACACTGCCCACGTCCCTCTACATGATCACTGAGCTCTCCGGTGCCCCCCGCTGGAAGGAGTACGAATACCATGTCTGCAGTGATGAGCGCTGCACCGGCCACCTGTTCGGGAAGCCACCCAACGATGGAAGCGCGCAGGAAATGGAGTGCCCCCACTGCGGCAAGCCGCGTTACAAGACCCTTCAGCTCGGCGGTGCGTACACTGGGGTGTTATGCATATGTACAGGCATGTGCAAGTCTTAACCACCTTCCTATGTATGCAGGCAAGACAGTTACTGAGCCCGCCAGCTGGTTCATATATTTTGGAGTAGAGGAGGTCATCCGGTCGGAGTTCTTTGGAAACCCGGAATTCTGCAAGCAGCGTGGAAACTTTAGGGGCGAGGACGCACCGGGATCATCCATGTGGCATGGTGATTGGGCCAACAGGGCGCGGTCTTACAAGGATGGTGTTATTTTCCAGCACGACAGTTCCATTTACGACATTGGCATCGACTGGATAACCCCTTACAACTCCACCCAGCACAGTGTCGGCATTGTCTTCATCCGGTGCGCCGACGTCAATCCACGTGACAAGGGCAAGAGCTGGAACCAGCATGTCATCGCCATCATTCCCGGGCCGCGGATTCCCAGCACCCTTAACCCTTACATGAAGATTATAGTGGACGACCTGAAGCGCTTGGGCAGGAATGGCATGGCGGTGACGGAGCGCTGGGTGGATGATAGTGGGCAGCCCCACACCCGTTCGTTCACGCACCGTGTGTTCCTGGCCACAATCCTTGCGGACACACCCGCCCGGGTGAAGGTGTGCAACGGCAACGGCCAGAACTCTTACAGCGGTGCATGTACTTATTGCGACTTCGAGGGGACAGGCGAGGCCAACGCAGGCCGTGGTTGCACGGTCCGGTTCCGGGGCTACAAGACTGCTGTAAAGCACCAATTCGTGGCCGGGTGGGTAACCATAAAATGCCCCTTTCGTGCTGTATCAGCTTTTTACGGAAGGAGTTCTTAACACCTGAACCATTCTGCTCGTAGGCTGGCAGGGCAGTCGCTACAGGTTGGGGACCCTCACCTCCATGCTCCACACGACGTCCTAAAAAAACGAGGCGTGGCCATGCAGAACCTCAAGAGGCGCATGCTGCTGGGAAAGCCAGGCGAAGACCTCCTCTCTCAGGAGGAGTACACGGCAGCGTCTCGTAAGACCGGCTGCAAGGGCGAGAATCCATTTGCGGTGCTCAAGTACTGCGACCTTACTTGTCTTTTCCCTGTGCCAATTGGTCACGCCCTCCTGTTCGGCGTCGTGAGTGACTTCGTAGACTACGTACTGCGACCCTTGAAGGACATCAAGCCATCGGATCCAGACAAGGACATTGTCATGTCCCGGGATGCCCGGCATCAGGTGGCCGCCCGGGGCGCGTACATCACAGTAACCTCGGATTTTGGCCGGCGCTACAAGTGCGTGCTAGCGTACAGGTGTGTGCAGACTGTCCACACTTGTTGCAACTTCCCCTCCCCTCCCTGTGAAGATACCCACCTACCACCGACCCTTATCCTTGCAGAGGGAGCTATCGGATGGAGGACTGGCTCCATTTCGTAGAGACCTTCTCCGCGTACGTCTTTAAAGGTGACGTCCTGCCTGACGTACTGCGGCCTCTGTGGTGGGACCTGTGCGACGCAGTCGTGCACTACTTCCGGCCGCGCCCAGAGGACGAGACACGTGCCGAATTCCTTGCGGCCTCCAAGGCAACCGCGTCCAAGCTTCACAACTACGCCAGGCGGCTGGAAGAGCTGCGGGTATCAAACCGCATGTTCACAGTCAACCTACACATCTGTGTCTGCCGGTAAGTGGCTAGATTTGATACACATGCTTACACAGGTCACCTGTACTGTTCCCGTTCATACAGCCATGGCGGTTCCGTGTTCTTGCAGGCTTGAGCGGCAAGAGGCCGAGCTTGGCTCGACGTCTGCAATGACCGACATGCCCGTGGAGCGTGTCATGCAGCAGATGAAGAGCCAGGGCGGCCGACGGTCTCACAGGCCCCAGAGAAGCACTTCGCGAAATGGCTGTGTCTCATGCGCCACGCCAACTCACTTGCTGTACCAGCCGCTGACGCCAACGGTGAAGCCCCCACTGCTCGACAACAGCTTGCAGAGCTGGTGGGACGGCGTTCTAAACCACTGGACGACGCCCGCTTTGATACCATGGGCGGAGATGGCTACCTTATCGGCATTGGTGCGGCGGTGCATAAGGATGACTCCCGGGTCAAGCAGGTGGAGACTGCTGTAGGAAGCATGGTCAAGTGGTACGCGACTACTCTCCCGGACGTCGGTTCGTGGTCTGCTGGGGCAGCTCGGGGTTACGGCATAAACGCGGACCTGCTTGGCGGCGTCCTCAATGCCGAGCCAACGGGGGCCCCAAAAGCAAGACACTTTTCGCGGGCCGAGGCGCCGGATGAAGAGATGTACCACGGGTCGGAATACAACCGACAACGGCGCCGGGTCACTTGCTGGGCGGCGTACAAGGCCGAGGTGACAGAAGGTACAGGCGCGGCCGAGCGTACTGTCGCACGTACATATGTGGCCCACCTCAAGTACTTCGTACACCTACCAGGTCACGAGACAGCAAAGGAGTTGCGGTTTGCGGTTGCTGATGTGTACTCGGCCAAGGAGTTTAGCGGTGGCCTCGTCGTGGTTGACATGGATGCGGCCGCGACAGCAGGGCGTGGGAGCACTTGGGAGATGTGGCGTGACTTCGGCATTCCGCTGAGCGAGCTCAAGGGCAAATTCTGCATTGCCGCACCGCAGGGCGACCGGCAGGGCCTCATGTATTTCATGCCGTACACGCACTTCACTGACCGGTGAATGGGAGGGGTGTACTAGATTGGCGCGGGCCCTCCTAGGGCCCTCCCAGGGCAGAAGGAACATTGACTGCAGGATGCACGGATGTTTGTAACGGAGGCGTAGTGCAACCCCGGAACCGCACTTCCCATTGCAGCCACTCACTGCCCCTGAATTGCACAGGGAAGCATGCATGCATAGCAGCCACATCTAGGTAGCACAGGTCCTAAGCAGTCCCCCCTTCCCCTGGCCAGACAGCCAGCAGCGGAAGGGAAGAGAAGCGCAACCGCACTTCCCATTGCAGCCACTCACTGCCCCTGAATTGCACAGGGAAGCATGCATGCATAGCAGCCACATCTAGGTAGCACAGGTCCTAAGCAGTCCCTCCTTCCCCTGGCCAGATAGCCAGCAGCGGAAGGGGATGAACGGAAGGGAACGAAGCGGAACCATTAAAGCCACCCACGTGGGGCTGCCCCTGCCCCTGGCCAGATAGCCAGCAGCGGAAGGGAAGGGAAGCACAACCGCATGTCCCATTGCAGCCACCCACTATTCCTGTAAAGGTCCACCAGTTACACGAGATGGTCATACTTGCTTGCAGTACATCATGTATATCAATATAGTTCGCGAATCGCAATCTGGGGTTTGTAAGTTTACATGCTGTACCACACCGAGAATACTTCAAACTGCGCCCGGACTCTTACTTTCATAGTCATATCCACATAGCTATTTAGACATACTATACCATTGCGATAGAAAGTCATGTTCACTGGTAAATAGGAATTTAGCTTGTGAGGTCAACAATGGCCTTGGCGACGGGCGCGGCTCCTATGGACGTCAACCTTCCGTCCTTTCCTAAGAACATTGTGCTGGAAATAGTATCAAAGTCCGTGGAGGGAACGTGCCTGCATGACAGGCTCCCGCTTGCCATGTGTCCATGGACCGAGGACTCCCTGGCGGCTGCTCTTCAAAACGGTTCAGTTGATACCTTCTTCCTTTATGAAGGTAGGACATATTCCAGTTGCAACACTTATATGCGGACTTGCAGTAAGGACTCTGTTTAACAATGTCGCTGGTCAATGTTCGCCCACAGAGGGTGGCGCGAGCCAACAGAGTGCGCGGATCGTTGCTAGCATCGCTCTGGTACTTAAGGACCATGTCCTGCGGCGCTTTTGTTGCCGCGCGGATGTTGTGGCGGCATTGGAGGAATTCAAGTGCACCATGCTAGTATGCGGCAGCTTTGCCGTTAACGAGGACGGCAGCATGGTGACTTGGACACTTTCCCACAGCAAGGCGTGCCGTGTGGCAGGAACAGAGCAGTCCGGATATGACGGGTGAGTGTGGAGGGGGTTTGGGACACTTTACAAAATTACACCGTCATAATACGGATCGACAAGCATAAAAGGGGGGATTCGGCAGGATTGCAGGCCCATGTTTGCGTAGCTTGCTGGTGCGACATGTTCCTCTGACAAGACGTGTATGGGAACGATCTCCCGGCACTGGGGCTTAGCTGTTTGCAAACCCACCTGTGATGGGCCTATGTGACGTGACCGTGGCGCTGCACCTCCTTGCACAGGCTCACCCGGGTACAGGCGGACAACCTGGCGGCAAGGGCAGCGCCTTCCACCCTCACCAATGCAACGGGGGTCACAGCAGGAACGGAGGCGACCCGCTCAAAAAGTGCCACGATGACATTTGGCAAATTGGAGACGGCCGTGTCTGGGCTACTGGACCCAGCTGTGACCCAATCGCAGCGCATCCAGTATTGCAAAGCAATTGACGCTGAGTGCAGGAACGGCCAGAACTCGTTGGTGAGGGAAGGTGAGTAAGGCCGGGTTTAGGGCTCAATTGGTGGTGGCGCCACTACATGCTGCCTACTGTGTACTTCCATACATATTGCAATGCATGCTACCCCCTGCAACCATGCCCATTCTTAGTTCCTGTCGACCACCGCCTTTTACCCTATGTAACCTGCTGCTGCAGTCGCACACGGGGTCTGGCCACGGGATGCTGGCAGTGGGCATCTTGTCACCCTCAGCGACATGTCAAATGCGCACGGGATTGCGTACACGGACCTGCTCGCGGGTAAGTGCGGGGCGGCAACATGTTAACGGGGCCCGGCAAGATAGTTGGCCGACAGGATTGTAAGCAGGGGGCGCTGTACAACAGCACTAGGCGGTGTAGTACAGTTTTAGTGCATTCTTTAGTACAATGTGTAGTACATTCTTCGGGGTTGACGGGGGCATGCTGATACCACACATACCGATACCCATACCCATGCAGGCGGCGTCGTTTACAACATGCTTACGGTAGAGCCGGGTGACAACGTGCTGTATGCTGGCTTGCCCACGGAGGACGGTAACATCGCGGCCGCGGGCATGACTTTCAACTTGGAGCAGCTGCGGTTGCTGGTGGAGGGGGCGGCGAAGTACGACTACCTAAAGACGGATGCGGCAGCTCGGAAGGCAAGAGCTGCTAACCTGTACGAGCTTCCATCGCTCGAGGAGCTGTGGATGAAGGAGTGCCGCCCGTAAGCATAGCCTTTGCATCCGTGCTCTGGTTCATTGTGACTAGCGCGATATCAGACAGGCTAAACCATGCTCCATTGTGATGCGCTACCTGGACAATTGTGGGATGCAGCTGAAATCAATCGCTTCATTGTTCCATCGTCCCTTTACATGCCTTGATGCTATGCATGCAACTGCTATCATAACACGCATCCGCTGCTTTCCTCAGTTACTCGTCCACCGCCAAGGCCAACGAATGTGGCAAGGGCAAGGGCGTGAACGACCCGAGGAAGGATTTGCAGGACAAGGAGGCTTACGTGACAAATCTCAAGACGATGGCCATGCGCGGGTCCAGCCTCTACACGGGATACGCGATTGTGGGCGGGGGTGCTGTCGTGCACCAACGGTGAAACGTGCCAAACCGTGACATAGGGTGGGACCTTCCAACGGGGTAGGTTTACCAAACAACAGTCCTATGCTTGAACTGTTGAGTGGGCGGTGCTGGCGTGAGCACCAGGGATTAACCAGCTGCCCGAAGATGGGGACTTATGCTGACGCAGAGTGTGGCTGGACGACTCTCTGCACCGGGATGTGGTGGCCAAAGGCGCCGCCCGGTAACCCCTATAATAGTTGGCGTTGGCTGTAAGCGGTGCGACGCGCCACGACGTCACAGAGGCCCGAAGAAGGCAGGCGGCTGGGACTCTGCTCCTCCGATTTGCCGGCGCTGAAGCGGCTGCTAGATAGTAGGCTGGTGTACTAACTAGTTGCTGTGCGATAGGGCTGATCAGGCCGGCTAAGGCAACACAGCTGGATCAACGCTATGCATGTTCAGTATTAGGCTTACGTAGGACTCGACAACGATTACCGGTTGTAATGTTGCGTGCGGTGTAGCACTATGAGAGGCCCCGAGAAGCGCCGGACCAGGCGTTCTCGGAAGCAACAAGCCACCCCCAAGACCTGACGCTCCAGGGAAGACAACGAACTAACGACCATATCGCAAGATACGAGCAAGCGCATCGCAACACCAGAATAAACACCGTACTGATGACAACCTTCCTTATATAAATCAACCGATAAACCGCAAGGATACAACACCTCATCCATACCGCGGGACCACTGAACCGCGGGTCCCTCACATCGCCAGTTGCACACGACAGCTGTCGTGCACCAACGGTGAAACGTGCCAAACCGTGACATAGGGTGGGACCTTCCCCCCCCCGACCGAAGACCAAAGAGCGAGGACGGAACAACGTAACACGGGACACCCATGTCACACTGACGACCAGCAAAGAGCACGACAAGCAACAGGGCTGAGAAACGCATAAAACGCACGCCCGGCCATTGAGGCATACAGATATCACACAGCGCAAGTATCCAAGCAGTTATCCTCCGGTCCACAAATCCATAAATCCTGTTCATGCAACACTCAGGCGGTCAGAGCCTTGAGTGCACCGACCCGTGGGTCATCCAAACATCCAAACATACCAACCCACCCCCAACCGGCAAGGGCTAGGCGTGGAAACAAGCAGAGGTTCAAACCACCGTCATGGAGACGTCGCAAAGTTAGCAGCAGGCACAGCGCGATACACTGCCATCAAACAACCAAACCAGGACCAGACACCCTGGCATGTACCCCTTGTCTCTTCTAACACAGCAAAGCAAGGACCGAAGCTCACCTAAATCCCCGCATGACAGGGAACGCGGCTTGGCGTCCCTTCCCTAGACCTACGCAACATCCGCCCAGAACCTGACCCAGAGCATGCGGCTTGGCACGCCTGCGGTTCGCAACTCGCTAAGAAACCCACACTCTCCACCTACAACAGGCCACGCGGCTGGACGTGCCTTTACCTACCTAAAACAACAACGAGCTCAGACGCTCCCTCCAACAAACCTACTATTGCGCTCGCACGGCAGCGAGCTAGTCACAGCTAACCGACCCCTGTAACCTAGACAACCCCCTTCGGCCACGCGGCTTGACGTGCCTCTTCCTAGCCCAGCACGACACTACCTCCCTTTCTTCTTCGCCCCCTGCTGCTCCAGCACCAGCATGCGCTTCGCCGCCGGCAGCCCGACCGCCTCAGCGAAGCCCCCGTCCCACTCGGCATAGAAGTAGTGGGGCCTCGCCAAGCCGCCGCGGTAGCGCAGCATGCCGTACTGCTCCTCTCGTCCACGACCGCGACCCTTGTTGACCACGCGAGCGATGCGGCGCCCGTCCAGTGCCGCCGCCTCGTCGTCACGCCGCCGCGTGGCGGCGTTTGGAAACAGCACAGCGGTGGGCTCCGGCTGGGGCGGCGCAGGCCCCACCGGTACCTCCCGCTGCAGCTGCACGCACTCCGGGCACACCCAGCTACCCTCGGGGACTTGCGACAGCGGCGGCACAAGGCAGTACAGGTGCCAACCAGTGCCGCAAGCGTCACAGAGCAGCATCTTGGCGCCGTCGCGAGGCGAAGCACACACCTGGCAGGCGTGGTCCGCTGCGGGCCGCATAAGCCGCGGGTCAATGATGGGATCCAAGTCGGGCAGGTGGCAAGGCACCAGCTGCTCCACCCGCCGCCTGACACGCGCGCCGTCGCGCCCTATGAGCACCGCCACGCCCAAGGGACCCACCGACTCCACTCGCAGAACAGCCTCGCGCACCGGCGGCTGCAGCGTGTTGGTCGGGTTCTGCCGCCGGACATAGACGTAGTCACCCATGGCGAACTGCAGCTGCGGAGGGCGCCATAACCCCGAGCGCACGAGCGCGTACCGCCTAGTGTCCCTGTGCTGCGCTATGAGCAGGTTGCCTGCAGCGGCCGGCGCGTGCCGCCGCAGCAGCGCTGCCCTCTCCGCCAAGGCCCGCGCGTAGACCTGCTCGCCAGCGCTCCCCGTGAAGACCAGCTCTGTCTCGAATCGCTCCCGCACCGCCGGTGGCACGACCGGTGGCACGCCGTACATGAGGGTGTACGGGGCAAGCTTGGTGGAGGCCTGCGGTGAGCAGCGGTAGGCGAGAGCCAACCACGGCAAGTGCTGATCCCACGTCTCAGGGCTGCCGCTCTCAGCACAGTACTTGCGCAGGGCTGACTTGAGAACCTGCACCAACCGCTCCGCTGCACCGTTGGCCTGCGGATGATACGCAGACGTCGGCCGATGGTCCACGTAACACTGCTCAAGAAGGCGGCTGAAGGCCCCCTCGAACTCCCCCCCTTGATCCGTCACTACTTCGGCCGGCGCGCTGAACCTGGCGATGACCTCCAGCAGGCCCCCGGCCGTCTCGTCCGCTGTCTTGTCCCGCAGTGGCAGGAACTCCGCATGCTTGGTGAAGTGCTCCACGCACACCATCACGTACGTGAAACCATGCGGCTTGGTGGGCGGCAGCGGCCCAGCCAAGTCCATACCCCAGCGGTAGAACATGCCCTTGATCGCCAGCGGCTGCAGCTGCACCGGACGGGATGACCCAGCGCTGTTGCACATGTCGCAAAGCTTGCACGAGCTCACCACCTGCCGTACAGTGCTGCGCATGCCATGCCACCAATAGCCCAGCTGCAACAGCGCTAGCGTCCGCCGCACACCCAGATGCGCCACCGTGTGAGTCCGCTGAGTCAGCTCCAGGCGATCTGCCGGCGGTGGGCAGACACGCGTGGAACCATCCCCCATCATGCGTAGCAACTGCGAGCCAGTCCAGCGGTAATGCGATGCACGGCGCAGCGCTCTGGCGGAAGGCGGAGCGGCAACGCCCCCGGGCGGCACACGGCCCGGGAATGGCGCCTGAATGACCGCAATGGCCTCCGCATCGCCCCACACGTCAGGATCGCTGCCCGCTGCTGCCGTCTCCTCCTGCACGTCGGCCGCTGCAGCGAGCACGGCGGTAGCCTCCGTGACCGCCGAACCAAGCGCCCGCACCAGGACGTCGCACGCCAGCACCGTCAGCCACGTCGCATCATGCGCAGCCGCAGCTTCCTCCAGTGCTGCGGCCGCCGCCACACCCGTACCGAGCTGCAATCCCGCGCTGAGACTGGCCTCCAGGGCGTCGACGTCCGTGGATACCCCCCCCAGCGGACGCGTCGGTTCGGCCATGTGGCGAGGCTGCAACGGCTGCAGGTCATGGGGTGTGACGAAGGCGCGATGGAGTGCCAGGCAGCTGGCAAGTGCGGCCGTGAGAACCGGCGGTGGTGACTGGCGAGGCAACAGAGCTGGCAGACCGGGATGGTCGGGCAGCGGCGGGAAACCAGCGAGTGCGGCGACCAGTGCGGCGGCGGGTACGGCAGGGAGGCGGTTGGCTCCTTGCAGTAGCGGCGGCGCGGTGACCAGCGCTGTCGGCGGCAGAGCGACCCATGGGACGCCCGGTACCTCCAGTGGCGCGTAAGGTGACGGCAATGGCTGGGTTGCTGCGGCGGGAAACCAGCCTTCTGGCAGGCGTGATGCCAACGTTGCGTCCGCCGGCGGTGGAAGCCGGCGAAGGCAGTAGGCCAGGTGGGCTGGGTTGGCAAGGTTGGTGTAAATGCTGCTTAGGCGGTGCAGCACAGCACCCGTTTGCACGGCGTCAACGGTGGCTGGGTAACCCAGCGGCAGACCGGCGGCTTCCGCAGCCTCCAGCGTGCACGCAGGGCCCTCCAGGAGGAAGGCAGGCGGCGGTGCCCCAGCTGCCCGCATGCTGCTCTGCAGCGCACCCAGAAAGTGCACGTACAACTGCGCCGACCAGCCTACATCCCCCGCCCAGCTGCCCATGACCAACCACTGACCTCGGTTGAGAAGTCCCAGCGCCTCCGTCCCTGCGTCCGACACAGCCCACTGCACCAGCTCCGCCACCGAGCAAGCCGGCGCGCGAGTGTCCTCATCCCAAGCTCCAGCCGCCAGCAAGCCTCCATAGTGCCGCACAAAGTACGGCTGCAGCGCTGTGATTGCCGCCTGTGAAGTGGGCTCGCCGCTGAGGGGAATGTAGCGGCGCACTCGCAAGCCCAGCTGCAGGCACGCCAAAAGGCCCGAGCCGAGCCCGCCCGGCAGCTCCAGTATGGCCACACCGTCGCCACCCAGCGCCGTTGGGAACAAGCCATGCTGCACCAGCGCTGTGTTGATGCCGACCACAGCCTGATCGGGCACCCGTAAGCGCAGCGGCAAGGCGTTGACCGGCACGATGGTACGAAGTGCTGGGCGCTCCAGCCGTACCTGAGCGGCCGCACGGTGCATGGCAGGATGCACGGGGTCCGGTACGGGGTCTGCGAGCTCTCCAGCTGCGACGACCACGCTGCTGGCGGCGCTCGACAGCTCCACTGCGTGAAGCGACAGGCACCGGATGCGCTCGGGGATGGCTGCTACCACTGTGTAGGTCGTGAACGGCGCCGTGGGCGCCAGGCTGACAGCGTAGGAGATGACGCTGGCTGGCGACGCGGTGGTAGGGGACAGCGCAAAGCGGGCCGCCAGTACCGCCGCGGCCGTGGGCAGGCGGCGGCGAAAGGCGAATGCTGGCCACTCCACCCCCGGGTATGCCACGAGCGCCGGCGGCGGGCGCACGGGGTCATCCTCCTCGTCAAGGCGGGCACCAGAACCGTCATGGGCAGACGATAGCGGGCTGCGGCTAAGGGCATCCGCGTTCTGGTGGAGGTGGCCGGGGCGGTGTACGACGTCGAAGTCATAGGCCTGCAGTGTCAGCGCCCAGCGCGCGTACTGCGGCGTGAGGCCCTCCGAGGTTGTCATCAGCCACAGCAGCGGGGCGTGATCGGTGACCACGGTGAACGGCCGGCTGCTGAGGTAGCTGTGCAGGAGCTTTACGGCCCAGACCACTGCCAGCAGCTCACCCTTGTAGCTGGTGTACTTGCGCTCATGCACGTTCAGCGACCTAGAAATGCAGGCGCACATATACTCCCGCGACTGATCGTCCAGCTGACCCAGCACGCCGCTGATACCCACGCCTGAGAAGTCCGTGTGCAGGATCAGGGGCCGATCAGGGTGCACGCGCCGCAATACCAGCCCCTCCTCAGAGTAGATGCGCTTGAGCTCGTCCAGTGCCGCCTGATGCTCGGGACGCCAAGTGTCGCTGTGCCAAACGACGTTCTTGGAGGTCAGTGGCGTGATGCCCGCCACGATGTCGGTGTAATGGTGGACTAGATCACGGTAGTAGCCGTACATGCCCAGGATGGTCTTGAGCGCGGTGGCTGACGTAGGCGCGGTAAGCGCCAGGAAGGCGGCTACCTTGGCACGGGTGGGGCCCATGCCATCAGCCGAGACCATGAAGCCCAGGAACTCCACACAGTCGCTGGCCACCATCGTCTTCTCCGGGTGCAGACGGATGTTGATGGCCCGCAGCATAGCGAAGACACGGCGCAGGTGCTCGCAGTGCTCCTCAAAGGTGTTGGAGAAGATCAGCAGATCGTCCACGTAAGCGCAGACAAAGTCCTGCAGCCCGTGCTGCCGGATGTGGAAATCCATGACCCGCTGAAAGTGCGCAGTGGCGTTGCGCAGGCCGTACACCATCCGCCGGTACTGCATCAGGTCCCGGCGCCACCAGAAGGACGTACGCTCACGGTGCTCCGGCTGGATGGGGATTTGCAGAAATGCGGCGCGGCAATCTGCTTTGGTGAGCCAACGGGCTGACCCAATGCGCTGAAACAGCTCCTCCGGCAGGGGCGGACTATACGGGTCAGGCACGGTGGCAGCGTTGGTACGGCGCGCGTCCTGGCAGAAACGCGTCTCCGTGAACTGCCCGTTGACATCCTTCTTGACTGGCATCACCGAGTTCATGGCGTACTTGGAGCTGCGACTGGTCTCGATGATGTTGGCCCCGGCTAGTTCCCCGCACTTCTGATCCATGACGTCGTACTCAGCAGCGGAATGGTTCCAAGGTCGCTGCCAAATAGGCCGGTCATGGATCAGGTCAATGCGGAAAGGCCCTACTTCCCCCCTATACTCGCCTAAGTCCGCTAAACTGCGAGCGAAGAGATCATCATGCTCCAGCATCAGCCGCACTAGGTGATCCCGCTGAGCTGGAGACAGGTCCGACCGCTTCGTCAGCAGCCAGCCCTGCGGTGTCCGCTCAAATTCCGCTTCCTGCGGAGGCAACCGACGCCCATCCGGAGCGAAACTGCCCGGACCTGCGTCGCCGCGGCTAGGCGGCGACGACCCGGCAGCGGAACCCTGCTGTCCCGCTGCGGACGGATGTTGCGTCATGGCTGGCCGCCGGCAGCGCTAGGCGCGCCGGCGGTGGCTGGTGCTGCTGCTGGCGGCTGCTGCGGCGGCTGAGGCTGCGGCAGCGAGGCGCCACCGACGGCGAGGGCGGTGGCGTTGGCGACCAGCATGGGCTCGGGCCTGGCAATGGGCAGGGAGGTGGTGGGAAGGTGGGCGCAGGGCTGTGGGTGATGGTAGCCACGACGCAAGCGGAGCAGCGGCGTGGGGCCGCCCAGCAGGATGTCGCAGCCGAACTTGTGCCACAGGACCTCGGTGCCCAGGATCAGGTCGAACGCCTCCGCACCGGTGTCCTCCACAACCAGTGCCGACGAGCTGTGCGTGATGACGTCCGGCGTGCCGCTGGCGAAGGTGAGGGTGACCTCCGCGACTCCCATGACGCTGCTGCGACCCGCTGCCGTGGTGATGGACAGCGACGGGAAGGGGATAACCTCCAGGTCCAGGCTGCATGCGACCCGTCGCGCCACGATGTGCACTGCGCTGCCTGAGTCCACCAGCACCCTGCCTGGCAGCTGACCCGAAGGCCGAGCTGCGCTGCTGACCAGCAGACCGGTGGCGTGACTGGCCTGCAGGAGGTACGGCAGAGATCCCGAGCGCAGAATGCTGGCGTTGGCGGCTGCGGCTGCGGCCGTGATAACCGCTGCCGGTGGCGAGGACCCGGTGCCGCAGAGCTGGCGCAGACCGCCCGCTGCGTCTTGTGCCTGCGACAGACCCGCCTGGAGCTGCTGCAGGAGCGTGGGCAGCGTTGGCGGTGCCGCGGCGGCGCTGACCACTGCATGCGGATCGCCTGCGAACTTGGCTGGCCGGGAGCGCAAGTGAGGCAGGATTTCCGCTGGTGAACGCTGCTCGAATCCCAGGGGACCACTGGTCGCCACCTGTGCCATGACTGGCGGCGTTGAGGCTGCTGAGGAAGCCGCGACCGAGCTGCTGAGACCAACGGAGTAGGCCGGCATACCGGGCGTGTAACCCACCGCTGGCGGTGCTACAGCAGCGGCCGATGTGCTGGATGGCGGCTGGGCACCGAAGTTGCCGACATGCATGACGCCGTGCGGTACGGCAGGCTCGTGCATAACGCTGGGCGGCGTCGACGGCGCCCAGTAGCTGGAGGAAGCCGAGGTGGAGGCAACCGTTGGCAGCAGGGTCGCGTGCGCGGGCGCCGGCGCCAGGGCGGGTGCTGCTGCTGCTGCTGCGGGCGACGCCTGGTAAGCTGACGGCGCGGGCGGATGCGGGTGCCGCACGTACTGTTCCCGGGGCTGCGGCTCAGGGTGCCGCATGGCAGCGGTCAGCACGTGCAACTGCTGGCCCAGCAACTGCTGCCCGACGACAAGGTCGTGCAACAGCGAGGATTCCTGGGCATAGGCGCCAGCTGCAGCATGGTGCGCCGGAACTGTGTGCTGACGCTGCAGAGCTCCCGCCTGCCGGTTCGCCCATGGGTGCTGCAGTGGAGGTTCCGCCGTGCGGCGCGAGGCGCGAGGCGCGTGCTGCTGCTGTCGCTGCGGCGGTGGTGGCTGCGGCACCAAGGTGCCAGCAGGCGGTGGGGCGTAGGCTGGTCGGCGGCGTCGCGCAGGCGCCACGTCTTCCCGCAGCTGAGGCGGCAGAACCCGCTCCGCTTCCGCCCGGAGTATGCCTTCGTCGGCCCTGCGCAGCAAACCCCCTGCGTCCCTGTTTTTCCAGTAGTCCTTCGCGACACGGCACGCGGCCAGCAGGTGCGGGGTGTCCGTGAACCAGGCATGCACCGGACAGGGGCAGTGTAGGTGGTTGGTGAACCAGTCGCCGGTGACAACGCCAGTGGTCTGCAGCGCTGCATCGAGGTCCCCTGCCATCTGCGGCGTGAAGCAGTCCGGCGCCGCCTTGGCGCTGGGTGGGCTGGGTGCTGCGGCGGCATAGGAGACAGTGACGGCGCGACGCGCGCTAGGGGCTGCAGCGACGGTAGGCGCCGTGATGAACTGCAGACCCCCCTCCGTGGAGCGCGCTGTTTCCATCTCAGCCAGCCACTGGCGCACGCGCTCCCGCGTCAGTCCCTTCTGCTGCTCGGTGTCCATCGCCTCGTACCGGGTGCGGATGAAGTCATACCCACGCAGGTTGCGACCGGCGAGCATCAGGCGGCGTGCTAGGTTCACCTCGGGATACTCCCCTTCCGGAAGGTTGAGGCAGCCGTTCACGTACTCCGTGTAGACCTGGGCGGGAGGCAGGCCATAGCCCGGTTTGTTGGGGTCGGGGGGCCACGTGAAGTGCTCGAGCCACGACACCGCATCACCGCTGTTACCGCTGTAATGCCGCTTCATCGCCACCAGGACGTACTCGATGAAGTCCACCAAGGTGCCGATGCTCTGCCCGCGGTACTCCTCCTTCACGCCACTGAGCCCCCTGTAAGCCCGGTAGTGCGCCAGCTGGAGGGCCTCGACGTTGTGCTTGAACCAGAGGGCGGGGTCAGACTGGTTGACCAGCGTGTGGCTAGCCATCAGGCTGGCCACTTGGCGGAGATCAGGCCAAGGCAAGCCCGGCACAGCGTTGACCTGCGCAGTCTCCACCCAGCTCCGCGCCGCTGACTCGTACCTGGGGAATTCGCTCGCCTTGCCGTCGAACTGCGGATCCAGCTTGGTGAGCTGCAGCCGGCACCTGCTGACTTCTTCCCGGTGGTTCAGGCAGGCAGCGCCGATAGGCGGCGGCAGGTCGGCGGGTCCTACAGCTGCCGCGGCAGGGACGGGGGCTGCAGGATTGGGGACTGGCGGCGGCGGTGGCGCTGCCGAGGTGGCTGTGGCTGACAGCAGCGAGACCGCTGAAGCGGCACCGTGCACGGGAACGGCAGGGGGCGCCGCGTTACCATAACCGGCGGGTCCTGGCACGAGCGGCGGCTGCCCTGTGGCTGCCGCCGCAGTGGGCGGCGGCCCCCAAGGGGCCGCCGCCGGTGCATCAGGGTCCGCTGGCGACGGTAGCGACCTCGGCGGCGTTGCCGCCCGGCCGGACAGGGAGTCACGCACGTACTGCCTCAGCTCAACTACGTACCGCTGCCAGAGAGGGCCGACACCAATCTTGCCCACGATGCGCGCCCGCAGCTCCATAATGAGGTCGTTGGCAGTGACGTAGCCCGCCGGGTTGACGGTCCAGACGCGGTTGGTGAGGTTGCCCAGGTGCCACATCAGCATGTCCGTGGTGAAGTCGTCGAGGTTGTAGCGGACGGTCGCCCTGGGCACTAGACGCGGGTTGAGGGCGTTGATGAATGCCTCGGCGGACATCACATTCCCACGCGGCCAGCCGTGGCGCTCGAGGAGGTCGCTGTCGCGCTGGAGACGACCGACCAGGACGCAGAGGTCGTGCAGCGGCGTGGGCTCCTCCACAAGGTCAGGCCCGCCATCCCAGGCCGTAAGGAGATCCTCAATGTCGTCGCACTGCTGGGCGGCCTCCGGTGGACTCTGCGCGGCTGGTGGTACCGCAGGCGATGACGACCGGGGGACTGCTAGCTGAGGCGCTGCGGGTTGCTGCTGAGGCGGTGGGGGCTGCGTGCGCAGCGGCGGCGGCGGCGCTGTGAAGGGCTGCTGCGGCTGACGGTGGGCCGCCGCCGCCTCCGCTGCCGGCGGAGAAGTGCTAGGAACGCGCCGTGCGGGCCCCATGCTGCCAGCGTAGGCCGCAGTGCGGGAGAACTGCGGCACACCGTACATGCCACGGCCGTTGCCGCCACCAAGCAACAACCCCTGCAGGCCGGTCTTAGCTGCAGGGGCGATGCCACTAGGCCGGGTAGGAGCATCTTGGTTGCGAGGTGGTGGGGATCTAGACCTTGCCGTCAGCGGTGTAGCTGGCAGTGAGTCCATACCACGCGCTGTGATGAAACTGCCAGCGGGGGAGGGCCGGGGGGACTGGGAGGGAGGGGTTTGGTGCATTGAGGGAGCGCCCATTGCTGGGCGGGGTGTCGCGAGAGGGGTGCTGCCACTGGCCATGCCGGCTGCGGTGAAGACAGCGGCGCCAGCATGAGCATCCCCGGCTCGCATGGGATCGAAAGTAGCCGGCGACTGGGCTGCCGTCACAGCCACGTTGTCGCCATCCCACAGCGGCCATGTGCCCGGACCGTGCGGCGACAGGCCTTCGTCGGCGGCGGGCCCGCGCTCACCGGCTCCCCCTAACAACTGCCCGAAGACCCCCCCCTCGGCGTGCGGCTGCGGCTCGCCGATCCCCCCTAGCTGCTGGACTGGTGCAAGCCCAAAGCTAAAGGAACCCGCATCGTCCCTATCCCCCTGAGGCCCCCCCCCATCTAACCCGGCTGGAGGTGGCAGATGGAGCTCCTCAGCGGCACCACCGGCGTGGCCAAGCCCTTGGTCTTCTCGCTCGCCTTGCGCGAGTGCGCCCAGCCGACCCAGGCTCATGGTGAGGTCGCGCGCCACATTGAAGCCAGAGCGACGCACAGCCCTTGGGTCAGCCGGTGTTGGCTCCGGAGCGACGGCGCCGTCCGGCCCAGGCAGCTCTCCAATATCTTCTTCAATTTCTGGAAAAGCACGGTCTTGGGAAGACATGCTGGTTGACCCGCGACGAGATGGCTCGCGCAATGTCGCAATCGATGCTGCCCTGGCTGGAAGTGGCTTCTCGGGGCAACGGGGTAGGTTTACCAAACAACAGTCCTATGCTTGAACTGTTGAGTGGGCGGTGCTGGCGTGAGCACCAGGGATTAACCAGCTGCCCGAAGATGGGGACTTATGCTGACGCAGAGTGTGGCTGGACGACTCTCTGCACCGGGATGTGGTGGCCAAAGGCGCCGCCCGGTAACCCCTATAATAGTTGGCGTTGGCTGTAAGCGGTGCGACGCGCCACGACGTCACAGAGGCCCGAAGAAGGCAGGCGGCTGGGACTCTGCTCCTCCGATTTGCCGGCGCTGAAGCGGCTGCTAGATAGTAGGCTGGTGTACTAACTAGTTGCTGTGCGATAGGGCTGATCAGGCCGGCTAAGGCAACACAGCTGGATCAACGCTATGCATGTTCAGTATTAGGCTTACGTAGGACTCGACAACGATTACCGGTTGTAATGTTGCGTGCGGTGTAGCACTATGAGAGGCCCCGAGAAGCGCCGGACCAGGCGTTCTCGGAAGCAACAAGCCACCCCCAAGACCTGACGCTCCAGGGAAGACAACGAACTAACGACCATATCGCAAGATACGAGCAAGCGCATCGCAACACCAGAATAAACACCGTACTGATGACAACCTTCCTTATATAAATCAACCGATAAACCGCAAGGATACAACACCTCATCCATACCGCGGGACCACTGAACCGCGGGTCCCTCACATCGCCAGTTGCACACGACAGTGCGTCTCAAGCTGCTAGCTATACGGAGAAGCTCAGCAAGTCCTGCAAGGAGTACTTTGAGTCCAAGGGGCAGGTGAACGGGGCGTGGGCTCGGATAGGGTATGTTGTACATATGGGCACAGATAAGGGTATGATTCATAATGTTAAGAAGGCGTAATGTTAGATTTGCCCGATAATTGTGCATGGGACAGTGTATGGTGACTGCTTGCTTGTTCCTTTGCGACATTCTATACCCAACACAGTGTACCGGCCAAGTTATTCTCCCGTGTCGTGTCGTTGCCACTCATGCCACAGGCGGATGAGGAGGTTGCAGCGGCAATGGAGGGCGTAAGGGGTAGGTCCACCCAATGCACCCACTTGCAGTACGTACTGGAGGCGGGGCTCTTGTACAGCAAGGACGGGCAGGGACAGTACCCTATCAACTTGCTGAACAAGTGCCCTATCAAGGGCAATGCTGGTAGGGCCGCCGCGAGGATGCGGCAGTCCATGTACTTGCAGTACGCTGGGCGCCTTGCGCGCTGTGCAAGAAGGATGCTCCCATAGCACCGTTGGGGCTGCTACTGGCGGTGGGAGCTTCATCCTCGTACAGGGAAGCTGGGGAGCTTATCAACCAGTACCGGGCGGCTAGGAAATCTGGTGGGTCACATGCAACGGCTGCTTGGGTCTCGGGCGTAGGGTGGGCGCTTGCTTTCACTGGGGACATGCAACCACAGTGGTTTTTCCCAGCGCAAAGAACGTGCTTTTTACGTAACACACTGGCGCCATATGCAGGCAATCCACCCGCTCGGCCAGTGGTGGCATTGGCGCGGCGCTTCTTTGGCATCGCGCCGGAGCCTCCATCCGTCAACACAATCCCCAACACGGCTGGTGGCGTAGGCATTCGGATTGAGGTCGACGGAGGTGGCGGTGCTGCTGGTGGCGCCACAGGCGGTGCCGCAGGGGGTGCTGGAGGTGCTGGTGAGGGAGTGGCCGCGCCCTTGGTGAGCATATACGGGGGGGGGGGGGGCCGTGGGAAGGACTATTTTGGTGACCTTGATCTTACAATCACATGGCTTGTTTGAGAGTATGCTTCATTGCGGTTAACAGTTACATGCTGCCTATAATGGGCCCTTCAGGATCAAGGTGCGGCCCAGCCCGGTGCGGCGGCCACCACAGCGCACAGCGACGAAGAGGTACGTCAATGTGAAGCCTTCGTGGGTAGACATTTGGCTAAGGACTGCATGGCTCACACAGCTCGCATCTTCTGAGCATTTGAAACGGGTATTGGGTGCAATGTGCTGAACCGCCCCTTTCTTATCCCATGTTGTCCCGCAGGAGGAGCCGGATCTGGCGCTGATTAACTTGGATGTCTTTGGTGTCGAGCTGCCAGTGCAGCAGCGTGCGCCACGGGGTCGGCAGCGGGCGTCTGGTCTGGATGACGACCTCGGAGCCCGTGGTGGCAGGAACAAGCAGCGGACCGGGGCTGCTAAGGTGGCAAAGAGCGGTCGTGGTGGTGGTAGCAGGAGGGGAGAAGTTGGCGGTGGAAGAGGGCGTGGGCGGGGCGGCAGGGGCGGGGGGAGGGTGGCGGCAGTTGTTGAGTCGGAAGAAGAGGAGGATGGGGGTGACGAGGAAATGGAGGACGACGAGGAGGCAAGCGGGGAGTCTACTGGGGAGGGGCAGGAGGATGACGTGAGTGTCCGGGATACATCGGATGACAGCAGCAGCAGCAGCGGCGGTGGAAGCAGTGGCAGCAGCGGCGAACGGGCGGGCGGAAACTGGCAGCAGGACCGTAGGCAGCAGGAACTAGAGCAGCAGCAGCAGCGGGGTAAGAAGCAGCAGGCAGCAGTTGGGGCGGCAAAGGTGCCCAAGGCAGGAACTGGGTCGAGTGGCCAGTCTCGGCGTGTGCGGGCTAACCGCCAGATAGAGGCAGACTGGGAGTAGGTTGTTTGCAATGGGCATAGAGTAGCTGTGAGTGGAAACATGGTTCGTAGATAGGTGATCCAAAGTTGGGTTGGGTTGGCTTCACGTGGTGTACCTTTTGTATTGGTTTGGCCGTGATTGCTTGGATGATTTATTATTATAAGCTTGGATGACTTGATAGCACAAACCTGATACCCATGACCATACTTCTTATCTACCTGCAATTTTTGACGTGCATGATCCTATTTCGTTGCAGGGGCGTTGGAGTAGGTTAGTTCAGGGACTGTAGGCAAGATGTTTGATATAGATAGGCAATGGAGTAGATATTGGACTATGGTAAGCTAGCTTATGGATTGCATTGGGGGCGTGGGGCTTCCAGGGGCGTGGTCCCTTCGTATAATGGTGGTGAGCATTCGTAAAAAGGAGGAAGGGACTAGGCTCATATGCAGCTTCTGACCATGTAACAAAATGGTGGAGTTCAAAATCATATGACGCATCTCCTACGATTGTCTAACAAGCTGCGTATCCTTACTGACAGGGCTCCGTATTCCCTCGTGGGCTATCTGTAAAATTTCGTATTCCATCCGTATAATAGTGCCGTATTCTTGCAGTCCCCATCCGTAAAATGAGAGTTGCTTCCGTATTCGAGGTACAGGGGGCATAGCATGCTACCGCCTGTTTGTGCTACACATGCTCCGGACACTATGCGGAAGTGTTCACATTCACTCTAGTGCATATACCGTGGGACTCCTGCATTACAGGCAATTCGTAAACCTTTCCCCACCATTCGTATCCCTTTCCGTATTCTCTGTCCGCCTTTACGGAAGATACCCTTCCGTAAAATGGGGTCAAAATACGGAAAGGTAGACCCCCATTTTACGAATGGGTGGACCCTGGTTTTCCCAGAGTGTAACATCGAAGGACCTTGGCAAAGGCTGCACATGTTGCCAAGGTGACGGCCCTTGCCTTGACGTCGATGACACCGGAACCTCGCAGCGCCCCAAGGAGCACCGGGTCTGTAGTGGTGAACCGGCGTGGTGCTGGTATCTTGTAATGTAGCATAGCGTCGGATAGGCCAACGCCTTTACTCCTGAGCAGCCTCCCAACTTGCTTTGGTACAATCCAGTTTCCTCTAGCTGGGCCAGCGAGGTCCTTGACCAAAGTGATCTCGTTCCCGCCAGAGAATGGAACTGGCCATGTAGCAAAGACAGGAACCTGGGGGATAAGGAAGGGAATGCAGGAGGGGATGGTCATACTAAGACAGGCAAGGAAAGCCAACCGCCACACAGGTAAACAGCCAACGGCTATGGGGACCGTGTGCAGGCGACATGAGGCCATAGACTCAAGAGTGCCAAAGGCTGTAAGTGTTGTTAGAGAGCAGACGGTGCAAAGTGTGGAACAGAAACGTTGGTACGGCTGTAACACACTTACATGTGGTACACGCTTCAATTTGTAGCCAAAGGACGGACGCATTGAAGCCCTGCAAAGATCTTGGCGTTCGATAGGACGTTTTGCCTGTGGGAAGGAGCAAGGGAAAGCAAGCGGCAGGCACACAAAGGCAAAATGAGCTGCCGGCTTAGGGTATATAGTTAGGATAAGTCCAGAATATTTTTTACAGTACTATTTAGCATACATTTTAGCATAACAAATTATCATAAATGGTTAGGATAACCGACTTTAGGAAATTAGGGTTTTTAGGGTTTTAGGGTTTTAGGGTTTTAGGGTTTTAGGGTTTTAGGGTTTACTGGGGGGTTTTCAAAAGGCGTCCAACGACAGTTTCTTCCAAAAAGGGTACCAATCGACAGCATTTTCAACGTAGATTCCGAATCCTTAAAAAACATATATCACTGTCCCCCCTAGGTAAAAAGTTATGGCCGGTCAAAGTTTAGTCAACACTTCCGCAACTTTGACCGGCTGACTTTAGTGCTCCCCAGGCATATTTTGCAAGTATTATCACCCAACTAGGCTTAGGATAGCTGTATTAATGCCTATATGTGATGTTGTACTGGCTGGCTTGGTATACATCTCACCCCCACCCAGCAGGCCCACCCCAAAGTACCCCATGCCCACCTAGCCAGGCAGGCACTCATCCTCCCCCCCTGCAGGCAGGATAGCCATCTTGTGCCTACCCAGGCAGGCAGGCACCGACCCTCTCTCATACAGGCAGGCAATTCCTTAATCCCCACCCAGGCAGGCAGGCACCAAACCCTCTCCTCTTAGCCAAGCCCCCTGTTGCCCACCCAGGCAGGCCCCCCCCGTCTCCTGCAGCTAGGCAGGTCCTCCCATGCCCACCCAGGCAGGCCTCACCCTCCCTATGCAGGCAGGCAAGTATCCAAATGCCCACCCAGGAAGAGGCACCAGCCCCCACCCCTTCAGGTAGCCAAGCCCCCTCTTGCCCACCAAGGCAGGGCTCCCACCTCCTCTTCTGCAGCTAGACAAGTCCCTCCCTCTGCAGGCAGGCAAACCCTAAATAGCTTGCCTGCTGCCAACAACCCAGCATCCCCCCTGCCAATTGCACAAGCCCCCCCCTCTCCTGCCACTGCACCAACTTAGGGCCTGCCTGCTGCTAACAACCCAGCCTCCCCCCTTGCCACTTGTACAAGCCTTTCACCCCTCTCCTGCCACTTGCATCAACTTAGGTGCCTGCCTGATGCTAACAACCCAGCCCCCCCTTGCCATTTGCACAAGCCTCTCCCTCCTCACCTGCCACTTGCACCCACATATAGCTTGTCTACTGCCAACTGCCAACAACATATTGCTTGCATTCTGCCAGCTATCTAGGCCCTCCTCCCCCCTGCCAATTGCACAAGCCTCTCCCCCTCTCCTGCCACTTGCACCCACACATAGCTTGCCTGCTGCCAACAACAGCACATAGCCAATTGCACAACCCCCTCCCCCTTCATGCCACTTCACCCATTCCAAGGAACCACCTCATTCCACAGAATCACCCCATTCCACTGAATTACCCAATTCCACTGAATCACCCCATTCCATGGAATTCGCCCTATTGTACAGAATCACCCTATTCCACGGAATCACCTCATTTCCCGGAATCACCCCATTTCCGGGAATCACCCCATTTCCCAGAATCACCCCATTTCCCAGAATCACCCCATTCCCCAGAATCGCCCCCCATTCCACGGAATCACCCCATTTCCCCAAATCACCCCATTCCACTAAATCGCCCCATTTCCTGATATGGCGTTTTGCCTGTGGGAAGGAGCAAGGGAAAGCGAGCGGCAGGCACACAAAGGGCGAAATGAGCTGCCAACTTAGGGTAATAGTTAGGATAATTTAAGAATATTTTTTAGCGTAATATTTAGCATACATTTTAGCATAACAAATTATCATAAATGGTAACGATAACCGAATTTCAGAAAAGATGGTTATTTAGGGTTTCAGTAAGGGTTATATGGTTATTTAGGGTTGCAGTTAGGGTTATATGGTTATTTAGGGTTTCAGTTAGGGTTATATGGTTATTTAGGGTTTCAGATAGGGTTGTAGGGTTTTAGGGTTTAGGGTTTTAGGGTTTTAGGGTTTTAGGGTTTTAGGGTTTTAGGGTTTACTGGGGAGTTTTCCATAGGTGTTTTTCAGACTTTTTCTTCGGTAAGGGTACCAATCGACAGCATTTTTCATGTAGATTCTATTTCCAAAAAGAAAATATATCAAAACCCCCCCAGGTAAAAAGTTATGGCCGGTCAAAGTTTGGTCAACACTTCCACAACTTTTGACCGGATGACTTTAGCGCTCCCCAGACATATTTTGTAAGTATCTTCATCCAATTAGCCTTAAGATAGCTTTATTGATGCATATATGTGATGTTTTACTGGCTGGCTTGGTATACATCTCACCCCCACCCAGCAGGCCCAACCTACAGTCCCCCATGCCCACCCAGCCGGGCAGGCACTCACCCCCCCCCCTGCAGGCAGGCAAGCCATCTTGTGCCCACCCAGAAAAGGGTAGCCACTCCCCACCCCTTCAGGCAGGCAAGCACCCTCTTAACCACACAGACAGGCCCCCCAAACCCCTCACCTGTAGCTAGGCAAGTCCTCCCATACCCCTCCCAGCTTGGCAAGTACCTGAAGCCATACAATGAAGGATGGTCCCATGGAATGGGACTGATTCCATGGAATGGGGGCTGATTGCACGGAATGGGGGCGATTCCGGGGAATAGGGGCGATTCCGGGGAATGGGGGCCATTCCGGGAAATGGGGGCGATTCCGGGAAATGGGGCGATTCCGGGGAATGGGGGTGATTCCATGGAATGGGGGCTGATTCCATGGAATGGGGGCTGATTCCGTTGAATGGGGTCTGATTCCGTTGAATGGGGGCTGAAGCCTAATAATAGAAGCTGATTCCATGGAATGGGGGCTGATTCCATGGAATGGCGGCTGATTCCAAGGAATGGGGGCTGATGTCAAGGAATGGGTGCTGGTTTTGGCAGAATGGGGGATCATTTCATGAAAATGGACCAAACCTTTTAGATAATGAACAGTTACACACATGGCTTTCAAGTTTGTCTGCCATATCTGACCACCTCAAAAGCCCTTATCACAACTCAAGCAGAACTCAAGACCTTGAACAAGTATCTCCTGAGTCCAACTCCATACCAAAATATCACACTCTCCTGAGCAGTTGTGGCAGTATAGTCATTGCTGTGGTGGCAACTGGATGGGTAAACATGGGGCATCACTCAGGCCACCATTTTTCCCTATCCATCAACTTCCATATATACCTGATTTCTCCATCTTTCTCCTTGTAGCAAGCTATTGCCCGCACTACCATGCCACCCGGCAGGTCCTGGTACAAAAACCCATCCTCTCCAATCCTCTCTGGTGGGGGCACTTCCTCCCCATTCTCTTCCTCCCATTGAATTCTTCCACCATCAATAATACATGTCTCAATCATATACGACGGAATTTCCGATTCCTCCCCACTGTTCCCACCCCTGCCCTCTGATGATTCACTTTGAACCCCATCCTCACCAGACACACTGCTGGACACAAGGTCAATCACTTCATCCTTAGGCCCCTCCCCTGAACTGTTCCCACTACTGCCCTCTGACGATTCACTTGGAACCCCATCCCCACCAGACACACTGCTGGACACAAGGTCAACCACTCCATTCCTAGGGCCCCCCCCTGAACGGTTAGACCCTCTTGAAGTTGATACAGACTGGGCTGCCTCTTCTTCCTTGACAGCTATTGGACCCCCTCGCAACCTACCACCACCAGTCTCCGCCTCAGACCTGTCATGCTCCCTGTCACCAGCCTCCAATCCCCCCTCACTGACACTCATGCCACTTGCCACCTGTTGCTGCTGCCCCCCACATCCTCCCTCACGTGCCCCATGCCCCTGCAACCCACCACCACCAGTCTCCGCCTCAGACCTGTCATGGTCCCTGTCACCAGCCTCCAATCCCCCCTCACTGACACTCATGCCACTTGCCACCTGTTGCTGCTGCCCCCCACGCTCTCCCTCCCTTGCCCCTTGCCCCTGCAACCCACCATCACCAGTCACCCCCTCAGACCTGTCATGGTCCCTGTCACCAGCCTCCAATCCCCCCTCACTGACACTCATGTCACTTGCCACCTGTTGCTGCTGCCCCCCACGCTCTCCCTCCCTTGCCCCTTGCCCCTGCAACCCACCATCACCAGTCACCCCCTCAGACCTGTCATGGTCCCTGTCACCAGCCTCCAATCCCCCCTCACCACTGCTTACACGCCCCACATCCCCACGCCGCCCCGCCACACCTGAGTGCCTGAAGAAGTCTGACAGCATTCTCTGCCTTTCTTTGCCACTCAGCAAAGTAGCCCCTATTTGGCGCCTTTGAACATGCTGTTCCCCACCTGACGCCTGTTCAGGTGACTCATGGCCTGAGATATGCTCACTACCCAACCTTGCCCGCTTGACTGCCCTCAGATCAACCCCTTCAGTTCCCTCTTCCCTTTCACGTACTCCACACACCCGCCCCCCCCACCCTAGCCCCCTGCCCCTGCCCCTCCCCCGTCCCCTTCCCCTTGTGCCCCTGCTTACTGTTACCCCCCCCCTTTGAGATCCCTGCCCCCTACCTGGTTGGGTGGGTCCTGCACCTGAAACAAAGTTTGGGTTGCCTCCACGCCCATTGCCAGCCATGCGCAATGCTGTGCCACTTGGGCCTACAGCAGGCGGGCCACCTGCACCCGCACCCGCACCCGGACCCGCACCCGCACCCCCACCACCCGCACCCACACCCACACCCCTATCACCACCCTCAGTGCCACTGCCACCTTGACCACCATCACCCTGCTGAGCATCATCCACATGCCCTGACCTGCCCCTGTCACCACCTTCCCCTTGTACACCAGCATCTGTGTTGTTGGTTTGTCGGCCTCGCCCACGGCCTGACAGATAACCATACAACCCCCCACCAGCATGGGATGGAGTGTTTCTCCCACCCCTTCCTCCCCTTCTACCTTCACCCCCCCCAACTCCATCAACTCGCCCACGACCTCTCCCACCTTGCTCTCCTGCACCCACTCTGCCACCACCCCTGCCCCTTATCCCCCTACCCCTCACACTCACAGACTGGTCCTCCCACCACTGTTGTACACGTTGGTAGCCCTCATGGGGGTCGATCCTTGGCTCCTCAGGCATAACTCGCATCCCTGCATAGGTGAGTCAATGATCAGGTACATCTCACATCTTTAACCTTCCCATCATTGGTCACAGCCCCATGCCTTACCTTTCAGCTCAGTCTCATTAAGCTCCTGGTAGTTATCCTCGCGGAGCTCATCCAAGGAGTCCTCAGAAGTGCTGCCATCTGAATCGCCACCCTCCTCATATGAACAGGACTTGGCATACACCTTGTCCCGCTCACGGATGCCAACAGGCAGCTCTCTAGGCACAAATGCCTTGTACTCGCTAGCAGGCAGGATTAATGTCTTGGTGTAAAGTGGCCCGCCCTGCATCTTGGCCATGAGCACCTGCAAGTAAAATGGAAATGCCTTTGTGAATATCTCGGTAATGCCATTCCACAAATGATCAGCAATTTTCATGGAATTGGCTCATCCACTTGGTTTCTGCCATTCCCCGGAATTAATTGGGGAATCTCATTCTCCGGAATCGCCCCATTTCCCGAAATCACCCTCATTCCCCAGAATCGCCCCCATTCCCCGGAATCAGCCCATTTCCCGGAATCGCCCCATTTCCCGAAATCACCCTCATTCCCCAGAATCGCCCCCATTCCCCGGAATCAGCCCATTTCCCGGAATCGCCCCATTTCCCGAAATCACCCTCATTCCCCAGAATCGCCCCCATTCCCCGGAATCAGCCCATTTCCTGGAATCGCCCCATTCCCCGGAATCAGCCCATTTCCTGGAATCACCCCATTTCCCGGAATCAGCCCATTCCCCAAAATCGCCCCCATTTCCTGGAATCAGCCCATTTCCTGGAATCGCCCCATTTCCGGAAATCACCCTCATTCCCCAGAATCGCCCCCATTCCCCGGAATCAGCCCATTTCCCGGAATCGCCCCATTTCCCGAAATCACCCTCATTCCCCAGAATCGCCCCCATTCCCCGGAATCAGCCCATTTCCTGGAATCGCCCCATTCCCCGGAATCAGCCCATTTCCTGGAATCACCCCATTTCCCGGAATCAGCCCATTCCCCAAAATCGCCCCCATTTCCCAGAATCAGCCCATTTCCGGAAATCACCCTCATTCCCCAGAATCAGCCCATTCCCCAAAATCGCCCCCATTTCCGCGGAATCAGCCCATTCCCCAAAATCGCCCCCATTCCGCGGAATCAGCCCATTCCCCAAAATCACTCCCATTCCCTAGAATCAGCCCATTTCCCGGATTCGCCCCCATTTCCTGGAATCAGCCCATTTCCCAAAATCGCCCCCATTCCCCAGAATCAGCCCATTCCCCAAAATCGCCCCCATTCCCTGGAATCACCCCATTCCCCAAAATCACTCCCATTCCCTGGAATCACCCCCATTTCCCAGAATCAGCCCCACTACCTGGAACCAGCCCATTCCCCAAACCAAACTCACCTTGAACAAGGGCCGCAAAGCATTAACCCCTCTGTCCACAATCTTTGAGTCGTGGGCATTTGCTACCAGACCAAATATGGTGCTGGCATCAAGCACTCGCCCTCCACGCCGACTCTCCAGGAATGCTCTCCAAGCATCTGCTGACATGACAGGGATGGCATGCCCCCATCCAGGACCTGCAGGCTGGGCTGTCGACTCCTCACGCCCTTGACCTTCTCGGACGTATAAGCTGTCAGGCACATGCAGCACCCCCAAAACAGCCTGCTCCTTTCCTTCAAAGCGTGACGCATACGCTAGGCTCTCCGCACTGGCACGCTCACACACACCACTCAGGCACCCCATTGGGTCAACACCTTTATCCAAATCGGTTGTAAGCAGTAGAAATGACATCCTTTCCTTCATATCACGCTGCAGCTGACCTGCACAGGGAACGGCATCCCACTGAGCAGGCTGCTTATGCCACATGCCTCCATTTTTGGCATAGAAAATAGCATGCTTCCACAGATCCTTTGCATCAGCCTCACTCACACCATAGCTCATCAACACCCTATAGTGCATAGCAATTAAGGCCAGAGCCCGAAAGGTCAAGGGTGCACCCAAAGGGAACCCTACACCCCTGAGACGCTTGGCTGCTAGCCTCCATGTCTCCTCAGCAATCAAATGAGCAACCTCCATAGGGCTCCTTACCGAAACATTCCAAGGCTGGACCCCCTTCGGCCTCGTAGCATTCCAGAAAGGGGCAATATGCAACACCATAAGCTGGCGGAAAGACATGTCCCGCATGAATCGCTCCCATGCCTGGGACAGGTGTGGCTTCGGTGTGGTAACGCATGCAATAGCAGTCACATCACTCTTGAGGAACCCATGGTGCAAACCCCAGTCCTCGACCTTACTGAAAATGTCCTTCTCCCGGACACACCCTTGGTCAACTGCAGCCCTGAAGTAACTGATGCCCACCACATTCACTGAGTTGGGAAAGCCACCTGGCTCTGGAGAACGCTCATCAAGGTAGATAACCTTGGTGCTCCTCTCCATGGCAAAAGCCTCAAGCACAGATGCATCCAGAATGGGCTTCAATAGCTGCTCACATGCATAACCACTCAAACACAACAACTCTCCAGGAAACACATCATTCTTTAAAACTTGCTCCAAAACCCACGTTGCCCTCTCCACAGTAAAGTTATCAAACAGCCCTTGCAACAAACTCTTGATTGCACTAGCCTCCTCTCGCCACTCAGGCCCCCAACCAACAAGAAACTCAATGAATTCTGCACGCAATGTCTGCACAATAGGCCTCGAGCGGATAGCCGGTGGATTGTAAATGACATTGACACCCATGAGCTCCTTCAAGAGCCTGCTTACCGGAACCAGGCTGGTACGCTCCCCATTCCGGAAGTTCCACCACAGGGTTGATGGCCACTGGCAAAGGAGCTTCAAACTTTCACCATCACGCTTTGCCAAGAATGGGTTCTCTGCGATGTGCTTAGCAACATCAAACCAGGCCATAAGCGAGCTGTGAAGGTAGGGCCCCCAAAGGCAACTCGGAACAAAGATGCATTCATAACGGAAATCAAACAGAAGCAAACGGTTTACTATCTCATCAATAGCACGAGACACCAACTCCAAAATCCCAACATCACTGTGGGTGCCTCCTGGCTCAGTAAATCCCTGAACCCCCCACTCAAAACGCAACGGGTTAGGGGCACAATCCTCTGCAGTCCTTTTCATCCCACCATAGTTGGCCTGGAATCCCGACTCCACCTTTTGTTGAAGTGAGGCAAGCCTTTCCTTGACGTCCTCCTGTAGATGCTGTGCTTGTGACCCACTAGCATTTACCAGGAGCTGGAACCTGTGGAGGCAATGACAAGGAGTGTGGTATTAAGAATGGGCTGTCAAAAAATGTAGTCAATTCCCTTCCCTTAAGACAGCAATCCTTACCTCCTCAGGAGTGCATTCTGGGCGTCCACATCCAGCAGCGGTGTTGACCCATGTGCAAAGTAGGAATGGTAAACTAGAAAATGAATAAACCCCTTGTTAATTGGCAGGGCCATACAAGGCAAGGACTCCCCTACACGCCGAACATCACGCCGAAGTTGTTCAGACATCATAGTCACAGGCTTGACCCAGTTGTTGCACAGCGAACGGACACTCTCTTCATGCTGGGCACCTAGAGCATTCGATAGCACATGCTGTATATGTCCAATGATGTTGTTTGACAATCTCACCACAAACCCAGTCCCCATGCTGTAGTTGCCCTGCACTCCATAGTGGGTCACCCGTGATGAGAAAGCAGATGTGACACGGTATTTCATCCGAGTCCTATACATAGGTGACACACGTGCAGGATCATACACCTCACTCCTCAGGCTAGCTGACAAAGTTCCTGCCGAAAAATTGCAGTTACCAGTCTGCCCCTCCCCAGCATCATGATCAGACACTATTGACACAGGGACCTCCGGTTTCCCATCCTGACAAGGAATGATCTGAGCTCCAAAAAATGATGCAAAGACACACGTAGACTTGTACCCCTCGAGCCGATCGAATCGAAAAGCTCGCCTCAGCCAGAAGACAGCATCAGCTTTTGCAGCCTCCATCCACTCTGAAGGAGGAACTCTATTCTCCTCTGATAACATGTCAATTGCAAAGGGCTGGTGCAGCGGCTTTTTCTCATGAAAGTACTCAACGTATACCCACATCTTGTCACATGCTACAATATCTAAAACTGTTTTGTGTGTTTGGTTAGTTACTGGGTCAAATGTGACACCAACCTCCAACAGAGCTTTCTGCAGGATAGTCCTCCAAGCATCTACCCATCTGCAAGAAAGGAAGAACACGTAGGATCACTATGTTGCTATATACGTGTATTATATTTGAGCAAAATCCCATCATGCTCCCATAAACCAAACCCACCTGTTAAAGTCATCGATTGACTGCTGTCGTTGTAGCTCATGAAGACGGGTACACACCTCAGCAATTGTGTTATAGCGGTGTAGCCTTAGCTCTCTCACACCACTGTAAGAAAGGTTGTCATTAAACCACTTCGTAAGGTGGGCAGAAGAGGTCTGGACGACAGCACGTGAGCCCACAGTATCCCAGGAGCTGGCAGTATACAGGAAATCATCATCAAGTCCTGCAACAGGACTTGAGTATCCCCTTGGTAATGTGTTGACCTACACAAATCAGAAAGAAGTATGGGATAAGTTCATGCTCATAAAGGCACACTGAAGTATCTACATGACATTTAGCACTTACCACAATGTAGCGAAGTACTTGTATGATATGGGCAAACACATCGCTCCTTGGGTTTCCAGTAGCTGGAAGCGCTCTCATGTCAGGCACCAAGAGGTACATATTACCACCATCCAATCTCCCGATGTAGGTCGAAGCTCCCAAATCTGTTGCATAACCAGCCTCCCGCCTTGCATGCGTAATGGGGTCACTGGATGATGGATCAAGCTCCTTTCCTGGTCGTAGTTTAATGTTGATGAACTGTGGACTCCTTAGCATCTGCGCATGCTCAGGATTGTCCTCACGCAGCCCTGGCATTGCACCAGAAGAATACCCCCGAAGCTTGCATGAAGGGCTAATACGCTTAGACCGAGTTGAAGCGCCAGGGTTGCAAAACTTCACACCCAAAAAGACACCATCCCCCAGCAACCCAACAGCAGAGCCTGCAAGTACAGACGTATCTAGATCAAGAGTAACACCAATTTGCTGAAATGCTAGTTGCTCACCTTCACCAGGCCTAATTGTATCAAACACAGCCCCCACCCCCCTAGTCGTCTCCCTTCCAAGTTCTCCCAAGTGAGGTACATCCACTTCAACAGGTTCACCTGCCCCTGTTGGTGAACCCTCATTGTTAGCCCCCATATTGTCCACTGAACGTTTGTAGTCATGCAAGTTGAACTTCGAAGAATCCAAGTAGAATGGGTATGTAAGTGCATCAGAGGCCACACAATCCAGACGTTGCCCCTGGACCCCACCGAAAGTGCGTGGCTCAAGAAGACTGCCTCCACCACGTTGGCTTAATAGCTTAACAGTATGAAGAACCTGCGGTCAATGTGAAATGGAATGAGTGATACAAGTTTGTTCACATGCCTCATAGTATCATACAGGCCACCCCCACCTAGGATTTCCCACAGGAACCCATGCCATGCTAATCATGCCCCCCTCACCTCTTCAGGGAGCATTCCATCCTCTGGAAAACGGCTCCTCAGCGCATCGTCACCTCTGCTATAAATACGCTTGGTGAACACAGAAGACAATGGATCCCTGACTGGACCAAATGCAGCATGCGGCCCCTGGCCAGCCAGATTATGCTGCCCCGCCCCCCCCCTCCCCATTACCCCTGCTTCCGGCAGCCCCATCCATGTCAGGAGAATCATCATTGCTATTGTTAGAGGAAGGCACACGGTTCAACCTAGACACATCTCTAATCAGGCCACTCATCCCAGTTGATGTGATCCCCAACCCAAGCATGGCTGCATCTCTTGAGTCCACCCCTGCCCCTGGGTCATCATTGACACGCCCAACCTCAACTTGTGCCTCCAAGACACGGACCGACTCCCTAATGTAAGCGGGTGCAGCAGTAGGCTCACAAACCCCCAGTACTGCAAGCTTTTCTACTATTGCCTTTCTGGCCTGGCTAGCATCAGGCTCACCCTCAATCTCCACGTACCATGCATTGGCAAACGACAGCAAATCCGAGAGGATGTTGACAGGCAAACCATGAACCTGCTCTGGGGCGACAAGCTGAACTAGCCACTGCATGCCCTGGCCTGCACGTGTGTCCCTGCCAGCTAAACGAACAAGTTCAAACATGTTGTTACCTACACATCTCCAAAAAATGGGGTACTTAAGGAGAACAGATTTCCCTGGAAAGCACAAAGGCTTACCCCCTGACCTGTAGTTCATATTCAGATACAACATTTCTTTCATAAGTTGCTGTTGCAGACCCACATGAAAAGTAGACGAATCCCTGTACTTTACCCACTTCAGCATCGAGGTCCTCAGACTACCTGTCATTGCATTCGATGGCAGGTAGATAATGTTGTGAAGCCAGTCCTGCACAACTTGAACTGGTACTTTGTCTCCCACTGCAGTCTGACCAACAACCTCACGAAATATGCTTAAGTCAAATGCATCAGGCATACCAAACCTCCCGTTAGAGTCACGCCTTCCCTGCTCCAAACCGACAGCCTGCAAGAATGGTTCATGTTTAGTTACGGGGCACATTACACATGAAGTTACAGCAACGTACCCTGTTTGCTGGACGGACTTCTTCACTCTCCAGACCTTCATACTGCAGATCGACCCCCGGTGCACCCTGCTCAGGTGCAACCCCCTGCAGTTTTTACAATTCCATTAGGATATAACACAATATGTCATACATTAATACAGAAATAACCACACCTGAGTAACAGCTGGAGCAGCAGCAGGAGCTGGAGCTGGAGGTGGAGCCGCTGACGGAGCGGGAGCCGGAGCATCAGCAGGAGCCCGACCTTGAGCAGGAGGTGGAGCCGCTGACGGAGCGGGAGCCGGAGCATCAGCAGGAGCCCGACCTTGAGCAGGAGGAGGAGCAACTGGCACAGGAGCCCGAGCACGAGGCTGCCCTTGAGCAGGAGTTGCTGGTGGAGCCGCTGGTCGAGCTGCTGGTGGAGCCGGACCCAGAGTAGGAGCAGGGGCTGGAGCAGGAGCCCGACGTTGAGCAGGAGGTGGAGCCACTGGTTGAGCCGCTGGCGGAGCCGCTGTTGGAGCCACTGGTGGAGCAGGAGGTGGAGCCACTGGTGGAGCCGCTGTTGGAGCTGCTGTTGGTACCGCTGGTGGAGCCGTCGGTGGAGCCGCTGGCGGAGTGCGAGCCGGAGCAGCAGCAGGGGCCGGAGCCGGAGCAGCAGCAGGGGCCGGAGCAGGAGCCCGACGTTGAGCAGGAGGCTGAGCCGCTAGCGGAGTGCGAGCCGGAGCAGCTGCAGGGGCCGGAGCCGGAGCAGCAGCAGGGGCCGGAGCAGGAGCCCGACGTTGAGCAGTAGGCTGAGCCGCTGGTGGAGCCGCTGCTGGAGCCGCTGCTGGAGCCGGACCCGGAGCAGCAGCAGGGGCCGGAGCAGGAGCCCGACGTTGAGCAGGAGGCTGAGCCGCTAGCGGAGTGCGAGCCGGAGCAGCTGCAGGGGCCGGAGCCGGAGCAGCAGCAGGGGCCGGAGCAGGAGCCCGACGTTGAGCAGTAGGCTGAGCCGCTGGTGGAGCCGCTGCTGGAGCCGCTGCTGGAGCCGCTGCTGGAGCCGGACCCGGAGCAGCAGCAGGGGCCGGAGCAGGAGCCCGACGTTGAGCAGGAGGCTGAGCCGCTAGCGGAGTGCGAGCCGGAGCAGCTGCAGGGGCCGGAGCTGGAGCAGCAGCAGGGGCCGGAGCAGGAGCCCGACGTTGAGCAGGATGCTGAGCCGCTAGCGGAGTGCGAGCCGGAGCCGCTGCTGGAGCCGGACCCGGAGCAGCAGCAGGGGCCGGAGCAGGAGCCCGATGTTGAGCAGGAGGCTGAGCAGCCGGCGCAGCAGTAGCAGGAGCTGGGGACCCCTCGTCACTGCTGGTATCGCCCCCCTCGTTGTTCTGCAAAAGAAACAAAAGCAATTGTAAGGATACAGTTTTGCTTCTAAAACAAATGACAATGTATAAATGTGTACCTGCTCACGAAGTCTCCTTCTCTCAGCACCACTCCGGCCTCGTCCACGCCTTCGCTGGCGTGATGGACGTGTAAGCTCTTCTGCAAGAGTACCAGTCAAGCCAACAACTCCCTGGACCCATGCCTGCCGGCGAGCGCTTGCAGCCATGCCAATGCCATCGAGCTTGAAGTCCGCTGCATGATCAGTTGGCTTCTGCACAGAGACCGAGTTAACCTGACCAGCTCCACCACTTGCTGACTGGGTTTGGGTTTGAGAAGAACCGCCACCAAAGCTATCTATCTTGCTCAATGACTTGTGGATTTCATTCTCCACCCACGCAGAGAGAGGCTGCCCGTTTGCCAGCCAAAGCATGAACCGGCGAGCTTCCTGGACCTGCTGCCTGAGGCACTCCCTGAGCTCAGGCACAGTCCATTGCTGTGACCCGTCCCAAGGATTCTCATGGAAGTCACAGTCAAAGACCGGCAACATACCAGCTGCATCGTACAGGACACGATATCCTTCATCCAGCAGCAGACCTGAAACATGAAACATGGTCATTTCAGTAAGTGGGCAATTCCATTTTAAGGACATTAAGTTACAGCTTTGGCAACCTCCTTACCTCCATGTGACTTGATTAAGTCAATCACATTGAGCACATCCTGCTGGAACTCCTTGCAGAGATACTCAGCGGGAAGGACTGCAGTATTGAACATCTGGGTTTGCTGCTCATCTCCACGGGCTCCAACAAGGGTCTCCAATGGGGCGCTCGTCATCGATAGCGGTACCGGGTCCACCTGCAACCCTTCATAGTGGCCATACGTGTTGTCGTTGTGCACAGCCATATCGTACGCCATGGCAGTGACAAATTTTGGGTTGGACCCACGGATGATGTTGTTGGGAAAAAGCTCCCAGTTGCTCTTTGGATTCGAGCGCTTGAAGATCAAGATAGTGGTATCCATAACCTCAGAAGCCACCATCATCTCAACCCCAGTGACATATGAGGTTGGAAGGAGCATGTAGCACAGGTAGTCCAAATGAGTCGGAAACTGTATGTTGTGATCCGTCAAGAAGATTGTACAGTGCTCGTACACGTACGGGATTGACATAACTTCCACTACCCTCCTCCGGAGACTCCAAGCCAATCTTGCACGCAGCCTGGGTTCGGCATTTTTGAAAAGCGCCTCATAGAAGCACGACCCGTAGCCTTCAATATGTCTCTTCACCAAGGAGGTTGGCTCAAAGGAGAGACCTGTGCAAGGACAAGATTGTTTTGCCAAGTTAGAATCAAAGGGGATCGCCCCCATATCCCGGAATCGTCCCATTTCCCGGAATCACCTCCATTTCCCGGAATCGACCCCATTCCCAGAATCACCCCATTTCCCGCAATCACCCTCATTCCCCGAAATCAGCCCATTTCCCAATCGCCCCCATTCCCCAGGATCGCCCCATCTCCCGGAATCGCCGCATTTCCCGGAATCACCCCCATTTCCCGGAATGGCCCCCATTCCCCGGAATCGCCCATATTCCCCGGAATCACACCATTTCCCGCAATCGCCCTCATTCCCCGAAATCAGCCCATTTCCTGGAATCGCCCCATTTCCTGGAATCGCCCCATTCCCCGGAATCGCCCCATTTCACGCAACCACCCCCATTTCCCGGAATCGCCCCATTCCCCGGAATCACCCCATTCCCCGGAATTGCTTCATTCCCCGGAATTGCCCCATTCCCCTGAATCGCCCCCATTTCCCGGAATCGCTCCCATTCACTGGAATCACCCCATTTCCCGGAATCGCCCCCATTCCCCGGGAATCGCCCCAATTCCCCAGGATCGCCCCAATTCCCGGAATCACCCCCATTTCTCGAAATCGCCCCATTTCCCGGAAACGCTCCCATTCACTGGAATCACCCCATTTCCCGGAATCGCCCCCATTCCCCGGAATCGCCCCAATTCCCCAGGATCGCCCCAATTCCCGGAATCACCCCCATTTCTCGAAATCGCCCCATTTCCCGGAATCGCCCCCATTTCCTGGAATCGCCCCCATTCCCCAGAATCGCCCCATTTCCCGGAATCGCCCCATTTCCCGGAATCACACCATTTCCCGCAATCGCCCTCATTCCCCGAAATCAGCCCATTTCCTGGAATCGCCCCATTTCCCGGAATCGCCCCATTTCACGCAATCACCCCCATTTCCCGGAATCACCCGATTCCCCGGAATCGCCCCCATTCCCCGGAATCGCCCCATTTCCCAGAATCACCCCCATTTCCTGGAATCGCCCCTTTTCTCGGAATCGCCCCATTTCCCGCAATCACCCCCATTCCCCGGAATCGCCCCATTTCCCAGAATCACCCCCATTTCCCGGAATCGCCCCATTCCCTGGAATCGCCCCATTTCCCGGAATGACCCCATTTCACGCAATCACCCCCATTTACCGGAATCGCTCCCATTCACTGAAATCACCCCCATTTACCGGAATCGCTCCCATTCACGGGAATCGCCCCATTTCCCGGAATCGCCCCCATTTCCCGGAATCACCCCCATTCACCGGAATCGCCACCATTCACCGGAATCGCCCCCTTTCCCCAGAATCGCCCCCTTTCCCCAGAATCGCCCCATTTCCCAGAATCACCCCCATTTCCCGGAATCGCCCCATTCCCTGGAATCGACCCATTTCCCGGAATCGCCCCATTTCACGCAATCACCCCCATTCCCTGGAATCGCCCCATTTCCCGGAATCGCCCCCATTTCCCGGAATCGCCCCCATTCCCCGGAATCGCCCCATTTCCTGGAATCGCCCCATTTACCGGAATCACCTCATTTCACCCAGAATCGGCCCTCTCCCCCATTCCCCAGAATCCCCCCCCCATTTCACAGGGTCACCTCCCCCATGGCCCTTTCTCAAATCTTGCCCATGTCCCCTCCCTCCTCCACTCAAACCCCCCTCTCCCCCCACTACCACCCTATCCACCTTGCCCCATTTGTCCAATACCTTTTGCTATGTTGTAATGCAATCATTCCAGCCCATTCCTGCCCATCCCAGCTCAACTTCTCCCACCCCATGTGCAAAACCTTGCCCCTATGCCCCTTTCCCTCCCACTCTACCACCTCCCACCCTATCCCCCTTGTCCTATTTGTCCAATACCTTTCCTATGTTGTAATGCAATCATTCCAGTCCATTCCTGCCCATCCCTGCCCCACTTCTCCCACCCCATGTGCAAAATCTTGCCCCTATGCCCCTCTCCCTCCCACTCTACCACCTCCCACCCTATCCCCCTTGCCCTATTTGTCCAATACCTTTCCTATGTTGTAATGCAATCATTCCAGTCCATTCCTGCCCATCCCAGCTCAACTTCTCCCACCCCATGTGCAAAACCTTGCCCCTATGCCCCTCTCCCTCCCACTCTACCACCTCCCACCCTATCCCCCTTGCCCTATTTGTCCAATACCTTTCCTATGTTGTAATGCAATCATTCCAGTCCATTCCTGCCCATCCCAGCTCAACTTCTCCCACCCCATGTGCAAAACCTTGCCCCTATGCCCCTTTCCCTCCCACTCTACCACCTCCCAACCTATCCCCCTTGTACTATTTGTCCAATACCTTTCCTATGTTGTAATGCAATCATTCCAGTCCATTCCTGCCCATCCCAGCTCAACTTCTCCCACCCCATGTGCAAAACCTTGCCCCTATGCCCCTCTCCCTCCCA